TGTTGTTAATATAAATTATTTTTATGTATATTCAACACTTGTGATTAAATGTGAATATGCAGATCTGTCAACACTTCTCAATTTAACTATATCGTCGACCTTCAAATGAAATTTGTTATATGTCATTTTCCATAGAATGTCTACACATCTCAGTGCACTAAAAATATTAGACTATCTGCCAGTTATCTTTCATGAGACTTATTTTACCAAGTTGCTTTGCCTATGTTTAATGTCAAATAATGGATATATATTTGTTATGACCCTTGGCTACATTAAAAGATAACAGAAGTGAAAGGAATGATAAAGTGAAAGAGGCCAGGGAGGGACTGACATGCAAGGTAGCAGAAATCTAAAGACAGTTAAATATACGCACATTATACATACATGCCTCATGAATGTGTGGATGATACCACATGTGTACGTACGTAAGTGTATATGTTTGCAACTATTTGTACTCGTATGTATGGGTATATGTGCTTTGTTTTTGTTTGATGTGTGTGTGTGTGGTTCACTTGTGGAACAATTTTCAATAACAGTTTCAAACCTACACGTAATAATTTTATCCATTTCACTTTGGTTGATTTTTTCACTTTGGAGTATTTTGACGTTCCTTGAGTAAAAGTAATTTTTGTTAGGTGTTTTTTAATTTTAGATTTTCTTTTGTTTTTCTGACTTCTCAATGTTTATTTTCATTATGGTTTTAAATATTTAGGTTGACAGGGGTCTGTATATGTAATTTTCCTTAATTTTTTTTGTCTAATGGCCCATCATTATAACAAGATCTGGCCCACGACCCGTCATTATAACAAGATCCGGCCCGTGGGGTCGAATGAGTTGCTCAACCCTGATGTAAGTGAATGTAATGGATTTGAGCATGTATATTTGTGAAGTTTTCTGCAATGTGCTTGATTTAATGTGATTATATTTGCCAACCAGGTGAGACATGTTTTGTGTAACCTTTAACTATTTCTTATGAAAATTGGCACTCTTAATGTTGTAGTTGTGAGCTCACATGGGTCAAGGTTGCTTTTTGTCAAGCATGGTCAAAAAACTGTTGACCACTGGTTCCTAACCAATTTTCTATCCATGCCTCACTTTAGTATTTCTAAAATTCAGACATCTGCAAACTTGAAAGATTCCATCAAATGAAACATTGTCAAAGTTCTCATCCATGTAAAGATGACTTGCCACTGACTTCAATGGTCCAGACACCTTATCCAAATTCTAGACATCTGCCTACCCAAACAAATTCTCTTCTCAGAGCTTGCATCTGTCAAGAGACCACATGAAGCCCAACATCATTGATTCAAGGATCAGCTTAAAAACACCTTGCGGAGGACAGAAATTGATCTGGTCAATTGGGAGACAGAAGCTGCAGAAAAAAACAATTGGAGAAGAGCAGTTCATGAAAAAACATCCCTCGAAAACACCAGAAGACAAATAGAAGAGATGAAGAGAGCCCAAAGATATGTCAGAGCTCTCCATCCTGTGAATCCTCCTACTTGACCATGCAGTGGCTGTGGATGTCTATTCAGATCCAACATAAGACTCGTTTCACACAGAAGGAAATGTCAATGAAGTCCTAAATATTTGGCAACAAGTTCTACCAATGACGACCATAATTGGACATTCTGTAACACTAAAGGATAACTATGACTGTATGAAAAGAGTGCTTGAAAAGATGCAGTATGAACAGCACAACTGGATGATATGTGGGGACTTGAAAGACATTGGATTGCTTCTTGGTCTACAAAGTGGTTATACAAAATATGCTTGCATTTTGTATCTTGTTTGTCTGTCCCAAGTTGAATAAAAAATGACCACTGGATATGAAAGAAATGGTCAGACAGGAATTCAAAATTGCAGAGAAGAATGTTTTAAACAGACCACTGGTTAATCCCAGGAAAGATTTGTTTCTCTCACTGCACAACCATCTTGGGTTGATGAAGAAGTTTGTGAAAGTCTTGGACTGTAGGGTGACTTTTTCAAATACTTAAACAGAAAGGTTTTAGCTGTGTCTTGTGAGAAAATTAAGGCTGGTGTGTTTGACAGGCTACAGATTAGGCAGTTATTGCAGGATAAGCAGTTTTTGGAGACAATGTCTACCACTGAAAAAGAAGTGTGCAATGCTTTCGTTATGGTTGTGTTTGATTTCCTGAGAAATAGGAATTCATTAAATTATGAAGGACTAATGCAGACCCTCAGTATCTGTCTATATTTCTGAGATGAGGTATTATGTACACTATTTACATTATTTGGACTAATTGTTCTCATCTTTGTCGCCATATTTATTACAACGTTTCGACCATTGTACGCTCTGACCTTCTTCAGGTGGTTGGAATGTTGAACTGAACCCTTTATTTTGCTCGCTGGGGTAGACTGTTCTAGTTCCATGTGCTTAAGGACACATGGAACAGTGGATAAAGGCATTGGTTAGATCCAGTGACAGGACCCAAAGAGTGTGAGTTCAATACCCGGTTAAGGCAGTGGAGAACTTGGAGAGGGGAATTAACAAGAGATAACTGATAACTGACATCCATTGAAACATGGCACGTGGAACTAGAACAGTCTATTTATTATTTTTCTTTTTGCATAACCACTATTATCCCGATACCCTCGCCTCTACAATAATTGCATAACATCGTGACGTTCAAAAGAGGTCTATTTTCGATAGTCTTTCCCCTATTTTTGTTCTTTATTACTGAATAGAAATCTCCTGAGCTTTGACTTCCATAGTTTTTTGGGGGGGTTTTTTTTTACTCGTCAACATGTTTTAAATGTTTTATTATGATATTTATAAGCACTCTCGGTTTAATTTGCTTTAATTTATTTATTCATTTTAATTGTATAAACGATTTTTTTTTGTTTTTTTTATGGTCGAATTATTCTTATTATCTCTGTAAATAGTAATTCTTAGCTGGTGAAATGAAACTTGATGGGAAGTGGGTAAAAACGGAAAATAAAATTACCTTCTAAGTATCTGATGAAAGGGTGTCCACTCAAAAATGAAAAAAAAGGAAACATTTCCCGTAAACAACTTAAATAGTCCACACCATTGTGATTGGCTATTGGTCAACCTTCAATCAAATGCGTGATAATGGGGTATATTTATAGAAGTCAGTGTCTACAAGCATTTTTAGAGGGCGTATCAGAGTCCAATCAGCTCTGATGGAGTCGACTTGGTGAGGTCAGTATGATGTTTGAAAGACCCGAAAACTGCCCAATGATCCAAATCAGAACATCACTGACAATGCCCTCTAGCGCTAAAGAGGGTATATTAAAAAAAAGTAACATGTTTTAATATCCTAAAATAAATAATATATATAAGTGAACATCGAGGTCAACAGTGAGTGGCAGCAGTATGTTTCATGCTTAAAAACAATTTTCAGGCCATGTGTGCTGTGTTTTTGCTATTTATATATGCTTGTCAATGGAGCATTATGGCTAGCAAGGTCTATTCTATTATCCTAATGATTATAGGATAGGCTGTAATGGTTATATTTCAAATTATTTTAGTGGTTATTGTGTAGAAATAATTGTGAATCTGAATGTGATTATTTGCAGCAATTTCATTATCTCATTTATTATGTCCTTTGTTAACTTTTTAGTCATTATTACAGTAATACCTTGAGATACAAGTTTAATCCGTTCCGTAACTGAGCTTGTATGTCAAAATATTTTTCCCATTTAAAATAATTGAAATAGATTTAATCCATTTAAAACACCCACAAACCATCTTAAATTATGTGAAAGACATGTTTTTAATTAAAAAACATATGTATACTTTACCAATGCATAACAAATATGAAATAAAAGAAAAAAGACAGATGTATGCGGCTAAGGGAGATGAATGGCAGAGGAGGAGGGAGGGATGAAGGGAGGAGGTGTTGCAGACTGTAGACATGTGAACAAAAACTTCACTTTCTTAACATTAAATGAATTAAAAATGCACTTTCTTAAACTAAAACTAAACTTAACATTACGTATTGTATAAATTTCTCATTTAATCATCACTTGTTTTTGCCTTTTTGGCTGGACTTTCAACACTTTCACTTGCAGACATTTTGAATAAAAACCTATCCAAAAAGGTTTGCTTTTGTGAGCTTTTTAAAATGTCATGGAAATGCAACAAACAAGTGTCATTATAAAGTGCTGCAGCATGACCAGTTGAAGGTATTTCTGGATGTTTCTTTTCAATGAAACTTGAAAGCAGTTCCTTTCACTTTTGTTGCTCTTTTTATAGTGTCCTTTTGTTTAAGGGTGGTACAAATTGTAGATAGACTGCGCTCGTACTGCCTTGCCAATTTAATCACTCATACAACACTTTCATGGTTTTTTTTATTATTTTTGCTTTACTTTTATTGACATCATTCTCCTCTTCTTCTCACCATTTTTCTTTACATTTACTTTCTTTGGACTAATGATGGTACGCAAAAAAAAAAATCATCATAATGTAATTAGAAACCGTAAAAATGATGCACATAAACAATAAACAAGATACGTCTTTACTGTACGGGTAACACACGAAAAAGAACGAGAAGATTGTTGTACTGATGCTTTACCTGATGCATTGTACTGATGCTTTACCTGTGCAGCAGCTTCCCGAAGCACGACTCGTATCTCAGAAATTAACTCGCCTGTCAGTCAAAAAATGGCCCAAGCCACCACTCGCATCTCAAAAAAGTCATAAGTTAAGCTACTTGTATCTCAAGATTTGTTGATTATTATTATTATTACATTTACATGTGTTTATGTGTGCATTTGTTACATTATCTAGATTGTATATTTGCGTTTTTCATGATGGTATTTTACAAGTATTTTACAAAATTATTCGGAACAGACTGTCACCACTCAGTGTTGACCTCAATGTCCACTTTTATATTTACCTACATCCTATCTCTGTGGACTTTTAGGCATAAATATATCACCTTTTAACTATATTTGTATCATATATATATATATGTTTTTTTACAAAATATTTATGTAGAGTAACAACTTACCAAGCTTTCACTTTTTTTTCTTGCTTTTGGTGTAAGGCTGATTTCACTGGCTTTCGGTTCAGTTTCACGCCGTCTACGTTTCACACTGTATGATGTTCCTTCATCAGATGTCTGGCCCTTAAACTGGAAAAAAGATAAATATAGTTCAAAAATTGCTACAAAAGCAGAAACAGCAGAAAGCAGGAACATTTCCAGGCACTGATATTGTGCAAAAGAAAGAGTGAATTTCTTTTTTTATCCTCAAACCTAAAATCTTAAGATCTGCAGGTGCCACATAGCTGTTAGAGCAGAACATTTCAAGAATAAAAGTTGTGAAAAGACTTCAAATTCAAAAAATGTCTACAACCCAAAATAGGAACAATTTAAAGTTTTCCTTATATTTAATGTTTTTTTAAATTGACTATATTTAAAGGCACGGTGGAGTAATGGATAGTGGCTCAGAATGAAGAATCAGAGAGCCGAGTTCTAATTCCTGTCAAATCCATTTCATTCACTTACATGCTAATACCCTTAGGTAAGGTATGAATCCTCCTCTTCTCTCCCCAGCTATGGGTAAATAACAAGACATACTGGGTTCTATAGTCTTGGCTGGCAACTAGTCTACCACAGAAAGAAATGGCAACCTACTGCGGGGAAAAAAATCTGCCTTGTCAATCATGTATCTTTCGATATATTTTTGCTTAAGCATGTATCACACATGACACATAACTGACTTATATTTAAAAATTATAATTAAGCCATATTTACAAAATAATTAGAAATAGTTCTAACAAGTAATGGATAGTGGCTCAGACTGAGGAATTGGAGAGCTGAGTTTGAATTCCAGTCAAGTTCATTACATTCACTTGTATTTAAATACCATTGAGAAAGGTATGAATCCATCTTTTCTCCTGCCCCTTCCAGTTATGAGTACATAGCAGGACAGATTGAATCCTATAGCCTTGGGTAACAACTAGAAAGACAACTCTGAATTAAACCTTCACCTATGGGTTAAATAATCTCAGCAACCAACAATTGGCCAAGTATGGTTGATGTTAAAAGTGTCTAGTTTTAGAATCACAAAATTCATAAACTGATCCTCTAACACTCTTTCTACAAAACTTGTAAATAAATTAGTTATCCCTAATACTAAAAGCTTTACTATCACATCCAAGACAAATGGACATATAATTAGGAAGAAAATAAAACCCAACACCAATTCAGCTGCCGATACTTATCAAATAAATTTCTTACTATGTAAAAGCACTTATACTGGTAAGACATCTCGAAATCTAAAAGCCTGTATCTATGAACATAAAGTGGATTTACATTTGGACAACCATTTAAACTTGCTTGTAATACACAGGACCTTGTCATAAATTTGATTTTATAAATGCCACCCTAATTAAAAAGAACAAAATTCTTTATGCCAAAAGTACATTGAAGGATTACTAATAAATATATTACCAACTATAAATACACAACAAAAACATATTACATCATCAACCTTTATTAAATCCATTCTTAAAGAATCTAATGTATGTTTATGTAAAACAAATGGTTGGTGCATAAACATGTTCTCAAATCAACATGCAAAAAAACACAATGTCTACTAGACACATACGCACACACTTACGAATATACATTATGATCTGATTCCCACATAGACAAACTAGAATTATTATAAAGTTACATACATAAAGCAATATTTACGTTTTTCAGTTAGGCTTGGAATTCGTTAATCTCTTGGAACTTTGAAAGGACACATCATTTCTCCTTGAATTCAGAATGCCATAAATTATACTAACTTTTGTTTAACAAGTCAAATCCACATGAAACCTGATTAACCAATGAAAAAAATCCTATAAATTTTTCCAGATTTTATCCTATTATAGTGGTGGGATAAAAAATTGATACTGTCATACTTCTTGGCAAATTTTATGTAAACCTCCAAGTGAAGTTCTTTATTATGTTCTATGCTCTGGTTTTTTTTTTTCTATGAAAATTTCTCAGACATTCAGGCTGGTAAATGTTGTTAATACTGTTTATTATAAACAGAGCATTTACTAAAATATTTGTATCTATAAAAAGAACGTATAAACATAAAAAATGTCTTAAATAATTGTCAGACTTTGTTCATTTCATTATATATATATATATATATATATATCAGGTCATCCCATAAGTTTGTGTCCGAATTTTAACTTTTTGTTAAAATGAAGGAAATTTAAAGAGTATTTTATAATGTCTAATGGAGCTGAACATTTTTTTTATGTTTAGATGCATTTAAACTGATCACATTTTATTTCAGAGAACAAAATTTTGTTTGATTAAGGAAGTACCCAAGAATCATTTGAGGTACATAATGCTTTATGAGTTCAAGAAAGGAAACTCAGCATCTGAAGCAGCTAGAAACATTCACTCAGTTTATGGAGAGGAATGTGTGAATGAAAGAACTTGGTTTGCAAAATTCAGAGGTGGAGATTTTACCCTTGAAGATGAAGATCGAACTGGACGAAAAGCTTCTTGAAGCAGCCCTTGAAGAAAATCCTGCTTTATCAGTTGACGAATTGGCAGTGGTTCTCAGTTCAAACCATACAACTGTTCATTGGAAAAGTTCCTAAACTTGGAAAATGGGTACCTCATGAATTGTCTGAAAACAACCTCAAATCCTGAGTTGATATCTACTCTTCTCTCCATTCTTGCCAACTTGTTTCACCTTTTTTGGATAGACTTGTGACTGGTGATTAAAAATGGATCTTTTATCGAAATGTTTAGCATTGTAGACAGTGGCTTCGTAAAAGGGAAGGACCCCAGCTACAGCCAAGAAGGGGACTTCATGGGCAAAAGGTTCTTCTTTCAATCTGGTGGGATCACCAAAGAATAATCCACTTTGAATTCTTACCACCTAATGCAGCAATTAATGCTCAAATATACTGTCAGCAATTAGAGCATTTGAACCAAGCTTTGAGGAAAAAAAGACCTGCTCTAGTGAATCGAAAAGAGGTGAGGTTTCATCAGGACAATGCACGACCCCACACAATCACGTCACAAAAGATCGAAGAACTTGGTTGGGAGAAAATTCCTCATCCACCTTATTCTCCCGATCTTGCTCCTTCAGACTACCATTTGTTTCGTAGCTTACAGAATCATTTGGAAGAAACAGCTTTTGTAACGCAGGAAAAGGTTAAAACTGACATTTGTGAGTTCTTCGAATCAAAGCCAAAAGAATTTTACAGTAATGGGATTAGTAAGCTTGTTAATAAATGGAAGGAAGTCATAGATAATCAGGGAAAATACATTGTTGATTGAATCTGTATTTAAATGTAACATTTGGTCACTTGTTTTCATTATTCAAAATATGGGATGTCCTGACATAAATTTATCACATACTAAAATAATGTAAATATTAATAGAAAAAAAAATTCAACCACATTACTCACTTTCTTTAGTAGATATTAAATTATGTCACTTAGCATCCTCCATAATTTATGTAGACTTTTCAGTTATCCTGATGAATATTTATAAGCATCTCTTAAAAAAATTTTGAAAAAAGTAACATTTTTACTTCTGTTTATAAATACATATTGCAAAATAAAATCCTCAAGTTTGCCTTGATAAAGTCTGCCAGATGAAATGTGTTTTCTTTTATATATATATATATATATATATATATATATATATGAATTTGTAGGTCTGATGAATTCAATTGTGATTACAATTTCAATGTAATAGATTATAACCATGGAATATTAGTGTTTGAGCCTTTTATATTATATTCTTACTCTGTCCTGGACATTGAGTTCTACCTGGATTCTATCCTCTTGGGAATTTATATATATGGTGGACTCTCTTATCGTATTCGATGTATGATGGTCAAGCAGCTCAGTTCTTAGGTACTGACAATCAGACACCAACACATATGATTTGATTATAGTGGTGAAGGTGTTGTGCCAATCACACTTTTTGAAGGGCCAAATACAGAGACCTGGTGCACTACGTGCCACAAGGTCCCCAAACATCCCTCCACAGGTTTTGAATTTAGAGTTTAGTCCTCCTAGACCAGTTGCCCTCCAAGGTTATAGAACCCAGTCTTTCCTCCTATTTAACCATAGCTGAGGGAGAAGAAAACGATTAATACCTTTTCCAAACTTATTAGCACATAGGTGAATTTAATGGATTTGACTGGAATTCAAACTTGGTTCACTGATTCCTCAATCCATGCTGCTATTCACTACTCCACTGTGCCTCCTGTGGTATCCCTGGTGGGATTCAAACCCATGGCCTCTGGATATTATATATATATTTTCTATGAAAATTTCTCAGACATTCAGGCCAGTAAATGTTGTTTAATACTGTTTATTATAAACAGAGCATTTACTTAAAATATTTGTATCTATAAAAGGAATATATATATATATATATATATATATATATATGGTGTGGCAAAAATACCTCCTACACTTTATACCATCACCATTGGCAATGGTGTCTTCATCTAGTTAGTGTCTATCATTTTTTTTTTTTTTTCAGATACCATCATTTATCATCATGGCCTGGACCAGTGCACACAGTGCATTTGCTGTTGAAATAATTTTTAAAATTGGTGAACTACAACACAAAGTCCTTTTCATGCCCATTTTATTTTATATTATGTTGGAATGATGCTGTTCTGGATAGAAAAGTGATACTGGTATGGGTTGAAAATTTCATAGGCACAGGTTCAGTGCTGAAAAGAAAGCCACCTGGAAGACTTCAAAGAATGCTTCAGGTGATGGGAAACTTTAGAAATTCTCTACAACAGTCTATGCTGAAAAGAGGACACCATTTGGAGAATGCCATTTTTAAAACAAAATAAATAAAACTGTAACCTTTTATTTTTCTATTTCATTAAATATGGCAGACAAGAAAGATTCAGTTAATTTTATTTTTATTTAATTTTTCCAGCATCCTTATATTTTTCCATTTTGTAAAAGTAAGGGAGTACAGAAATATTCATTGTCTCAAGCATTTTCAACCACTTCTTTAGCCATTTTCAAGATGATTTCATTTTTTGGTTTTCACAGTAAAGGCTTGTATTTCACTAAGTCGGTCCTAAATTAGGTTCAACGTACAAAAACGTTAGGAACTTGAAATATAGTTAATGACACAGCAATCTAGTTGTGGGGCTCATACTTTAATGTCCGATATCGACTAACTTACACAACGCACTCAGCTTCACTGGCGACTGTTACTACTTATCTGTGGGAGAGTCTATTTACAATAGAAATAGGTACGTTCTGGTATAACAAAATGTAAGGATGCTGGAAAAACTAAATAAAAGATTTCTTCCTTGTCTGCTATATTTAATGAAAGATGTTTAAAAGAAAGTTTGCTGTCCGTATATAAGTATGATGCAAATGAATAGAGGACAATTACTATATTTGTAACATTTAATTTAAAATGGGGCTCAATACAGAGTAGAGCAACATTTTTTATTTTTAGGATATTACACTGAAAACATGTAAGAAAATTGCTACACAACTGCAGTCGTGTTTCAATGTGTATCAATGCTCTGTATATGCCCCAGTCTCTTTACATCTATCTCTCTGTATATGCCCCAGTCTCTTTACATCTATCTCTCTGTATATGCCCCAGTCTCTTTACATCTATCTCTCTCTCTATATATGCCCCACTCTCTTTACATCTATCTCTCTGTATATGCCCCAGTCTCTTTACATCTATCTCTCTGTATATGCCCCAGTCTCTTTACATCTATCTCTCTGTATATGCCCCAGTCTCTTTACATCTATCTCTCTGTATATGCCCCACTCTCTTTACATCTATCTCTCTGTATATGCCCCACTCTCTTTACATCTATCTCTCTGTATATGCCCCAGTCTCTTTACATCTATCTTCTGTTAGCGCTTGGATATATAGAACATTTGGACAGTTTTTACACACTTTATGTTCAGAAAAGGTAACACTTAAACAAACAAAAGAAAAATTGTATTTAAAGCTTAATGACAGTACCTGGTGAGTTATCTTTGATGAAACTTGTAAAAAAAGACACATTGCTGTCCAGATTTGTATGAATTTATATATAAGTTGTTAAACTTCTATACTTGAGCACTATTCAAAATGTCTTAAGAAAAATTGTAGGAATGGTTTTTTGTTCAGAGTTGTTTTCAAAAGTCAAAATATTGGTTCTTTGTTTTCAAATGAAAGAAAATACTTATTGCTTCCATAGCACGCATACATAAAAATAAATGTAGTAACTGCAAAATCAGTTATATTTGTCAAACTTTTGGATATAGAAAAAAAAAGTCCCCCCTCTTTTTTTTTTTTTTATGTAATTTTGATTGTTTCTCCATCATTTTACATTTCTTATTAATTTCTAGTCAGCTCCTTTATACTGAAGTGCTTGTTTTGCAAAAAATTCTATAACTACAACCGATAGATTTAAAATAACGAAAACAGAGCAAGTTCACACGTTTTTTAAAATCACTATCACAATAGAATGCAGATTGTATCACAGTTACAATATATTGTCTTTGTAATTTACCTCTGAAGATGATTTTAGAAAAGATCAAAAGTAGTTGTGTTAAAAAAAAAAAAAAACGTTCTTGAAAATGAACTCTAATCAGTAGTTAACTTGGGCAAGGAATGGCTTTTATTTAATCTCCATAGAGAACCTTTTTAATCCAGGAGAGCAACTCATTGCACCATCTTGTGCACACATTTTTCATTGACATGAAGTATAATGACTATATTGAATTAGTTGCTAGATCAGCTGCTAGGAAAGTTGGTTCACTGTGTTGTGTCAAACGATTTTTCTCATCTGAATCCATATTGCACATTTATAAATCTACCATTCATCTGTGCATTGAATATTGCTGCCATATCTGATCTGGTGCTCCTGCTATATATTTCAAGATTCTTGACAAAATTCAAAGAAGGATCTGTGATGAAATCAATCCTCACCTGGCATCTCGGCTTCAGTCACTTTCCTATCACAATAACGTAGCTTCCCACTGTTTTTCTACAAATGTTTTCATGACAACTGTTCTCATGAGCTGTTAGTTGTTCTCTGTCATGAGCTCCTTAGTGCTTTGACTGCATGAATTTAAGTGTGCTACTAGATTGGCAACTAAATCACACAGTTTTACTATATGTTCTATTCTAATAGATTCTCTTTTCGCAATTCTCACCTGTTGTTCTCTCTTACGGTTTCTTACAGTTTAAATAGTATAAATAGTTACAATACCTCATCTCAGAAATATAAACAGATCCTGAAGAAGACCAGAGTGTACAATGGCTGAAATGTTGTAAATGTGGCAATAAAGATGAGGACAACAGTTTAAATAGGGTAAATAGTTACAATACCTCATCTCAGAAATATAAATAGATCCTGAAGAAGGCCAGAGCGTGCAATGGCTGAAATGTTATAAATGTGGCAATAAAGATGAGGACAACAGTCCAAACAATGTAAATAGTGTAACTAAGAATCAAAAAATAAGAACAATATCATCACAGAACTTCAAACAATATTAGTAAGGCTGATGAACTGACCACTAAAAACATTTTGCTAAAAGCAATAAAATTAGAATTGTATAGATAACTGATTGATTGTTTTTATGGTTTATCAACCTTTTGTAAGTGATTTAAAGTTGAAACATTTTAGGATTGTAAGAATAATTCTTTTTTTTTTTTTCAACTGAATATTAATTTCTTTGAAATAATAATGATTTTCAGATACAAGTCTATTTTAACCCATAGACAGAGGAAGAAGAAGTGGATTAATACCTTTCCCAAGAGTATTTACACGAATGTAATGAACTCAACTGAAATTCGAACTCTGTTTTCTAACTTCTCATTCGGAGTATTATCTATTACACCACTCACACATTTAAACTTACAACACCTAGTATTCCCAAGCACTCACTAATCTAGGTTCTGACCCGGTTCAACGTTGCTTAACTTCAGTGATCAGACAAGAACCTGTGTTTCAACATGATATGGCTGTAAGCCTTGTACAGATAAAAGTTGTATGTTGCACACATAGAAAATATTACCAATGATATTTGTAGAATTATTGAAATACTGCCAACATGTTTTGATGGTACAGGAAAATTATTATTATTATTAATAATAATAATAATGATGATAATGAACAGAATAACAGGAGTTCCATCAGATTTATACTAAGCTGTTTAATGAATTCCTCTTGGTAACCAATCAGCTAATGGAAAAAGATGAACAAAATCACCATCATATTAAACATGTTTCAGCTGCATTCCTTCAAGCTGGTGGCATATCATTTGTTTTGATGTGTTCATTATCAATACAGCTGTTTTTTTCATTACAAGATATCTGTACAAAGACTTACAATTTTTTTTATAGATTTATATATTTTTAGACTTGAAAACATTGTTTAAATATAACTTGAAGACAGACAATCTGTTGAAATTTTGTTTAACATTCTGAGTTTTACTTTTCTTTATCTTTTCTTAAATCACGCTCTTGTCTTAACTGTTGAAAAATATTGGAAGAGGTACACCAATCATTTTGTTTAATAATAATAATAATAATGGTAATGAAAATAAGAATGATAATAATGATAAAAAAAAAATAAGATGTTCTCAAATTTCATTAAGTCATAAATGCATTCTTTTTTGTTTTTTATTTCTTTTCTTTCATGCAAGCCATTTTAGATATTTGCATTTTTAATTATTTTAAAAGTAAAAATTATTTCTTACATGTGAATGTAGAGTAATTTACTTAAACAAAAATCCTCGATTTCACATACCAAAATTATTTTAATACGGTCATCATTTTTTTGTTTATTTTGACAATGCACATAAACTAGTTATGCATATTTTGTAATTGTCATTTTTCTTTGACTATCTTTAGATGTTTACACTTTAAATGATTTAAAAAGAAGAATTATTTCTTACATATGACAACAGAGTTAATTTTAATTATGAAAATCTTAGATTTCATGCAGGAAATACAATCAATATAACTGCAAAATTATGCAAATATTTATAACTATGAACCTAAAAAGGCAAACCTACCTAGGTTTCACCTACGCGGATTGTCAGGGTATATAACATTAATAAATAAGAAATAAACATATTCTGAAAAGTCATTTGGCTTTAAATACATTGTTTTTTATTTCTTTTGTTTTCTTTCAATATTTTTACATTTAATAATTTAAACAACAAAGCAAAATTTTATCTTACAGGAGATAATAGAGAGAATGGTTTAGATAAAAATCTGAGATTACACATACATAAAATACAAAAAAGGCAGTTACAAAATCAAATACTGCTGTCATTTTTTTGATTGTATAGGTAAATTAATGATAAAAATAATGACAATGATGGTAGTATTGGAATTAAGATAAAGATTGTTGCACTTTTGAAAAATGCCATCATTTACTGTGACGTTTCTTCTAAAAGTTCTTGAGTTGGAAGAATTTTTGTTGACACCATGCCTCAAGGACAGAATTTTTTATGATTACATCAATATAATAACAATAATAATACTAATAATAATAATAATAATAATAATAATTTGACATTAAATACATTGTCCTTTAATTATTTATCTTTATTTGGATATCTTTCAATTGAGTTAACTTTTAGCACTTTGCATTATTAATATTACTTCCCTTTCCACTGCATTCTTTTTCAAGGCATCTCAATTGTAGTATGCTTCTTGTTAATTTCACTCAAAGTTGTTTTCTGTTGCCATAGCAGGATATGACAACACAACTATGAAATTCAAACATTATTGTTCAGAGATCAGAGTTACCTTCAGTGGCAGGATAAACTTTTTGTACAGCAAATGAAGTCACATACAAAGGGATAAAGGTTGAAAAAAAAAATGCAGAAATTATAACCAATACAACTGCAATGTTACTTAAAGATGGCAGACATTTTTTGATGAGATAAATAAATGAGTTAAAAGTCTAATATTACAAGTCATAACTTGGTAACATAACCACATACTACAACAGAATGTGCAAACAGACAACAAAGCTTGATTAGTCATGTAGGGTATATGAATTAGTCTTACACAGATTAAATGGTTAATAGCACTGGCTGCTGGTGTGAGGGAACTTATTTCAAGTTTTTTGTCTGGTAATATTTGACATTAATTTCACTACACTGAGAAATTTTTTTATTCAGGGATGCTCTAGAATTTATTAATATTGAAATGGTTTAAAAATGACAAAATTAAAAATATTTTTAGGGTGTTACATATAAAAGTATACATAATACAACAATACCAGAACAATAGGTATAAATACCTAGATAAAAACCTAGTTGCATAATGTGTAACTGCAAAAAGACTTAGCGAATATTGAAAAAAAAAAAACTTTTTATGAAAATGATGAAGAAGGAAGGGTGTTCTGAACCTGCATTCTGTTGTCATAGAGATTTAAAAAAAAAAAAACACACACACACAAACATATTTTGTTATGGTTATTTTAAAATTTATCCATTGTAGTTATGGAAATTTTTTACAAAACAAGTATCTACCAATTAAGTCAAACAGCTTTTAATAAATAATACAGACAAAGTCTACTTATTTTTGCACTGATCCTTTCCCGTTCTCTAACCAGATTCTTGATGTTAAGCTGAAATTCACCAAGGAAGATGCCATAGTTTTTTTTTTTAACACAAGTACTTTTGACCTTTTCTAAGATCATCTTCAGGGGTCATTTCTATCTATCTATACATCCAAGTCTGCTCATTTCTATCCATGTATTAGCACTGTACAGAATAATCAGCCAATAATCAATAATTGATCATATCAACATTTGCCAATTAATTGGTCATCGACTTTTTTATTTTGCATTTTTGATCCTGTTTACTTATTACATCACAAAAATGTCATTCCCGGATTAAGAGTTTATTAGTTGTCCAAGAGATAGAATTAATTTTTAGTAATATTGCCAAAGGTTTTCACCAATCCTGATTGAAAGTAATTAAGTTACTGATTATTAACCAATTAATCAGTGTAAATCTAATAGGCTCAAAAGTATTTGCGTGCAAGTGAGAGAAGAGAATAAAAATACAGCACACTGAAATTTGCTTGCCTGACTAAAACATTGAAATTGTAAGGAAAAAAAAAACAACAAAGAAACCAAAGTGACAACAATAAGAACAACATATACTACAACAAAACTTTTGCTACCACTCATAGTGATGGCAACAATGGCAGAAGTCAATTAAGACAAAAACTTACAATGGAGTGGAGCATCCTTATAATCATATCAAGTTAAAAAAAAAAAAAAAATAGGTGAAATGAAAATATAAAAAAAAACTTTTTGAATTAGATTTAATCTGATTAAATATTATGAAACAGATTATTGATGTTACTTCAGTCAAATATAAAGTGATTATAAATACAATTTTTTTTTCTTTTTTTGAAGCCATGTCCTGAAAGTTTGTGAATAATTGCCATGCCTTCTTAGGAGTGATTGCATGCTGTCTTCTCAGACTCCTTTTTTTTATTATCTTTGAATTGCAGAAAAAAAAAAAAATTGACAGCAAACTGAAATTTGCCTGAATAGAACATTGAAATTGTAAGAAACAAACAACAACAAAAAAAAAAACAGCAAAAAAAACAACAACAACAAAACAAAAAAAACAACAACAACAAAACAAAAACAACAACAAAAATAACTGACAACAATAAAAACAACAAAAATAACTGACAACAATAAAAACAACAAAAATAACTGACAACAATAAAAGCAACAAAAATAACTGACAACAATAAAAGCAACAAAAATAACTGACAACAATAAAAGCAACATACACTACAACAAAAACTCTACTGCTAGCATATCAGATAAAACTATGGAAGGGAAGTAGAGACATAGGAATAATAGCAGCTCAGTTAGAACAAAGACTGTGACAATCTACAGTAAATAGTGTATCCCATGATTTATGGTGTTCAAATTGATACTGATTATTAACCAATTAATCAGTGTAAATCTAATAGGCTCAAAAGTGTTTGTGTGTGAGAAAGAGAAGAGAAAAAATACAGCACACTGAAATTTGTTTGCCTGACTAAAACATTGAAATTGTGAGAAAAAAACAAAACAAAGAAACTAAAGTGACAACAATAAAAACAACATATACTACAACAAAAACTTTGCTGAAGGGAAGGGAAGGGAAGTAGTGATACGGGTATGATATCAATCATAGTGGTGATTGCAATAATGGCAGAGGTCAATTAGGACAAAGACTTACGATGGAGCGGGGTGCCCTGATAATCATATCAGGATTACTCTGATTATTATAATCCGCACAAAAAACAAACAAAAAAAAATAGGTGAAATGAATATATAAAGAACTTCTTGAATTAAATTTAATCTGATTAAAGATTATGAAACAGATTATTAATGTTACTTCAGTCAAATATAAAGTGAATATCAACTTAATGCTTTTTTTTTTTCATTTTTTGAAGCCATGTCATGAAAATTTGTGAATTACCAGGCCTTCTTAGGAAAGATAGTGGAGTAGTTTCCTGTTGCTTTCTCCAGGGTTGGGAATTCAAAATTTTCCTTCTCTTATACTGAGTGTCATCCAAAGCTAGAGAGCTTAGTTTACACTGCTATTTAACTTAACTTGTATCTTGAGATGAGATGGATTTGTGCTGTTTTTTTTTTTCAAGGGTATTGGTGCAAAAGTGAATGCAACTGACTTGGCTGGAAATTGAACCTTGATTGTTGATTCAAGTTTCCATACTGATATCCATTAAGCTATCCATACATCTCCCAACACATTTTTTGTTACTAAAAGTTCATTCAATAAAAGGCTCAAAAGCCACTCAAACTAGAGGGTTATTGAATGAGGGTGTTTTATGGTCATAAGAGAAGGAAATAAGTTCAGATTATCAGGATATGTAGAATAGGTAATGGTTGATCCTAGACTTAAAGAAGTTAAGATTGTAGTAATTAGTAAAGCCTTCTATTGGGAGTCTGTTTCTCAAAGTAGTGGTTTTCAGGAAGAAGTCAAGTGGAACTTCTGTAAGCGTTCTGAAAGCAAAGGAAATGTTTGTCGCAGATTAATTCCACAATGCAGAGAACAAACCATTGCAAGTTCAGACTCAAATATTGGGGGTAGAAAGAAATGCTGAAAACTCGATTCGCAGGTACTATCTCACAAATCCAAATGCACGTAACCAGTCACAAAAATAAGTCCCTTTCTGATGAACGCGGTAGCCAAAATATACCAATTTTTCCTCTCGATTCGAGAACACCAACTGCTTTTATTGGACGAGCATTTTTTCATTCGTCGACAACTGGGAGAGGACGCCAAATTTTTGCATATCAAAATACTTTTATAGCGACTCCTGCGACAGACTTGTTTTTAATCTAAATATTCCGTCTTCAGCATGTCATGCAGAATATGAGCCCTTTTTTTTGGTAAGTAATTTTCTTTTTCATTGTTGGATACATGCAATGCGCCGTCGCTTGGTTTGACGAAGTAAGTCGCCATTTTCTTTGCTATAACTTCTTTCTTACTAATGGAATATGAAGGGAATGTAGATGAGTCACTCTTTTTTCTACATGATATGGCAGGTCCTAGCTGTAAAGGTCTGAACAGGTGGAACTGGTGTTTATAAAAATCATTATAGACAACAGAGATTTGTAAATACAGAAGCAGCAACTTGAAAGACCAAATTATCTCCAAAGAGAGATCAGGCACCAGAAAATAAAACCTAAAATAAGATTTAATAATCTGAGTACATAGTAGAAAATAGATAACATATAAAAAGAGAATTTTTAACCAGCCAACAGTTGGTGCGAGTAAATTTAAAAACATTTAAGTGTTTATTTTGTCAAAATAGCAACATACAAAACTTTGCAATAGGTCATAGTCAGCTGAAGGTGCCAGCTCCTCTAAAGATCTACTTTCAAGTCAGACTTTTTATTTAAAGAAGCAAATGAAAAAGCTAGAGATTAAAAGACACACTTACAACTCAAACTTACATACCAGCTTCTCAAAGTGAATACACTTGTACTTCTTTTTTGAACAGTGATTAATGACATTTAATAAATCTATGAACTTTAACTATATCAGACACATGTCTCTGCTAAGGAACATTTCAGATAATAAGACTATTTACTATAAAGAGAGACATCTCCAGAAAATCATCTACACAAGCTTTTACATACAACTGGTTTGAAAATGGAAGTAAAATTGTGATTATGACAAATTATTAGCAGTACTCATAAAAATTTGATAATTCCCTAATATGAATTTTTTGATGAATCATAATTCTTAATTGAATGATTCAATAAATTCCTTATGAGTTCCATGACTATGAAATACTCATAGAAACTGTCCAATTGCATTGTTAAATATTTGAGTAAGAAGGTAGAAATGAAAAGAATTAAACCTGAAAAAGGTTTTCCTTTTCACTAAAGCAGATGTTAAATGCACATAGACTGCCTCTATTTTCAGTTTGTATGTTTTCTTTTTCTCACTGAAACCAAACAGCATTTCTGATATATTTTATTTCTTCTGTCTTCCCTTACAATCAAAACAGAATGGTCCATTATTTATTTGTGGCAGTGGCATATGTCTTTTTTTTACAATGTCAAGTTTGAGTGGGCAATGGTATTAGGTTATCATTTCTTTCACTAGTTTTTGAGGGTTATTTTTTTTCCAAACAGGACGTAGTGTATAATAGGTAACATCACTGACTCACTAAAAAAATTAGCATACCCTTATGAAAAAATGCTCTCAACTTATTTTTAAGAGGAAATATCAAAGGATTTTTTGATTATTAAATTATATTTTTAATCCTTTTTAGAACGTTCATAATTTTGGTTAAATTTTTTTTTTCTGGTGGCTAAAGATTAATATAGGAAATTTTAGCACCTTTTTGTCGTGAAAAACACAATTTAGAAATTCAAGATAACTGTTGGATTTTAATTAAATTTTCAGGACTTATTTACAAATGAATGAACTTTAGAAATTTTCTTTTTTTTTTTTTAAAGAAAATCTTGGGAAATTTTTTTTTTATATCTATCACCTCCACTCCAAACCTTAACTTTATGAAATTTTGAGAAATTAAAATTCCACTCTTCATATTTATATTAGTTAAAAACATAAATTCTCAGAGAATTTAAATCATCAATTTGTTTTTGTCACAGAAATACCATTTACCAAAAATCTGCTCTGAATCATAAAATAAAAAATGCAATAAATCTATGACATTATTTAACTAGAAAAGCATTTAATTGCTTTTATGAATAAGATATATTAAAGACACTATTGTCCCAAGAAATTTATTTTTTCAATGAATAATGAATTTTTTACAAAAATTGTTTTCCTTCTTTTTTAATTTTAATTAAAATAATTTAAGTTTTAAATATTTTAAAATTCTATATTTCACTCATTTCATTGATATTATTAAGTAAAAACTATATTTACTAATCATAAATGGAAAAGCTTAGTACAAATCATCAAACACCAATATTTTAAAATGAATTTTGATTTTTTTTGTATGCATATAAACATGCCTATTTTTGTAGATAGAGTTGATCATACATGACATTATCAGAAAATAAGCGTTATTGCTATAGTAAATTTAAAGCCATACAGTATCTAAAATTTAATAAACATTACATTATGGAATATATTTTCATAATATTTTAAGATTACTGAGTTTTTTAAAAGGTGCTTGATTTATATTTTTCAATTATTTTTTTACAGGTAAAACCACTGTAGAACAACATTAGATAAAAAATCTATTTGTCAAAATAAATAAACAGTTACCACTGTGTTAAAAAATGCATTTCTGTGATATTTTAAACTTAAATAATATTTGCTTCAAATCAGATTAATTATACTTTAAATCAGCTAATATTCCTCAAATAAAGTTTCAGAAAAGTATATTTTATTTTTGGAAGATTTTTTAATACAGAAAATTACATTGTGATGAAAGATAACTAAAAAGGGTGCTAATCAGCTATTTTATTAAAAAAAACAAAAAAAAAAGCTCCTTCCAGTCAATTTAAATTAGTTTTTGTAATACAGCAAATTATTTTCATGATTTACATTATTCGGACTATTGTCCTCATCTTTGTCGCCATATTTATCACAACGTTTCAGCCGTTGTACGCTCCGGCCTTCTTCAGGTGGTTGGAATGTCGAACTGAAAATATCGCAACAAAGATGAGGACAATAGTCCGAATAATGTAAATAATGTACATAATACCTCATCTCAGAAATATAGACAGAGCAAATTATTTTGTTTATTCAAAATATTAAATTGAATCTATTAGCTTGAAATTAAAACTAAAATAAAAGCTTCATGAAAGATTTTCGTTTTTTAAAATTCATTTTAAACCTGAGGTATTATTTTATGAGGTGGTACCCAATTTAAAGCAATGGTTGACCAGTGCAAATGACTTCAAGTGTGTCATCTTAATTAAAAAAACAAGCCCTGCCCACACCAAGAAAGATAAATAAAAGAAAGAAAGGAAGGAAGAACTTGTAAAAAGTATTTGAATGAATATGTGCAATGTATCGCTTTTCATGGGACACTTTAGTTGTATCCCTGGGACACACAGATTGTAAAGTTACTGTGTCTCCTTTAAGATTTTAATGCATCTGGGAGGGACACAGGACACACACCTATCAGTATCTCTGTAAAAGCATAAAATCCTTTGTCAATTGCTTAAAAAAAAAAAAAAAAGGACAAAACAAAAAATCTTTCATTTTTAAAAATCCAAATTGAAATTTTTACCTTGATAGAAGCTGGATTTATTATGGTTGGGTGTTGACAAATGACATTGCCTTCCATTACCTAAATATGGAAGAAAAGAAAAAAAATAGGAATGAATGGTATAATAGCAGCTATAAGTATTGAGAAAAGAAAGAAGTCAATACAGATGAATATAAAGCAACTAATGTAATGCATTCAACAGCATTGTTTGACTATAGTAGTGTGCTCTAAAGAATACATCAGTTTATACATGGCCAAATGACAGCAAATCACATCATCTGGTTATGTGGTTTTAAATAGACACCTGAATTTTACGATAGTGGTTTTCACAAGAAAGAACAAGTTACTGTCACATGTAATCAAATGAGAACAAAACTATTTATCTGGTTGTGGTTTAAGTATTGTACAGAAGAAAATACTGACAAATCCAAAGAACAAATCATTTTCGTGTCACATGCTGCTTTTGCAAAAAGAAAAAAAAAAAAAAGTCTCCACTGAACGTGGTCAGTGAGCTCATGTAAATCAGCTTCTGTTAACCAATTGTGGTTCAAGTGTCATTGAGTCGAATGGATTGTATAGAAAAATATGCTAATCCCTTTCTATAATCCACAAATAGCAAACCATAAAGGGTTCAACGAACTGCTATAAAAAAGCAACTGACTTTTCCTGTCTGGCAACAACTTTGTGAGGGTGTATATATATATATATATATATATATACACACACACATACACACACACAGTGGGCCTTGTGCCTGTTTTGAGAAATTGCATTTGTTTTTATACACCTGGATTTTGTAATTGCACTCTTTCTTATACACCAGGATTTTGTAATTGTGAATTCCAATCAAATATCTCCTAGTTATGTGATTTACGTACACACCAGAAATTTCATAACAGTGGGTTCCAAAAAGTTCCAGGTGTAGTTATTCTATGAATTAAATTACATTAGTAAAAGAATCATTTGGTAGAAAGTTCCTAAAGGGAGGACAATTTGGTTTGGTTTACATAATATCAAACTCAATAGGTTATTTAATGCCGACAAGATTTTTATTGATAGTAATGTTGTTTTTTTTTCTTTCAAAAATGTATAGTTGGTAATATTTTTTCTTCAAAAATGTATTGCTGGTAATATTTTTTTTAAATGTACTGCTGGCAATATATTGCAGGGAATAATTTTTTCTTCAAAAATGTATTGCTGGTAATATTTTTTTTTAAAATGTACTGCTGGCAATATATTGCAGGGAATAATTTTTTCTTCAAAAATGTATTTTGCTGGTAATAATTTTTCACAAGAAGTATTGCTGGTATTAAAACTTATTTTTATACTTTCATTGAGTTTTGATCCCTTTTGGGGAGTTAATTATTTGTTCATACAGGGCTCTACGGACAAATTTACCTTTGGTTGACCTTTGACAACTAAATATTTTCATTTACTAGCCAAATAGAAAAGTTACTAGCCAAATCCATGTAATGTTATTTCACTCTAATGTTATGAATAAAACAATTCCAGGTGAAGTTTTGTTTTATATTCTAATTCTCTAAGACAATACAGATAAAATTTATGGGAGGAAATTTAGAAATTTCAAGAACAATTACATTCAGTGGTACTGTTACCTAGCAAATATCACTTAGAATAATTCAGTCAACTGACAAATACATGTTTGAAGATCTCATCAGTTTCAATATTAGTTACTAAATAACAACCTCATAAAGACATTACATTTACTTCAATTGTTACCTGGCAAAATTTAAAATTAGAAATATTCAGTAAACTTACTGACAAAATTTAAATGCAAATTTGAAGTCTTCAAGATCTCATCAGTTTCAATATTACTAAACAACCTCAAACAAAAAGATCATAAATACATTATATTGAGTCTAGAAACTGTAGAACTGTTTACAGTTACCTGGCAAATATCACTCAGGATAATTCAGTCAACTGACAAATGCAAGTTCGAAGATTGCATCAGTTTCAATATTATTTAACTTGAAACAACAACAACAACCTCATAAAAACATTGCATTCACTTCAACTGTTGCCTGGCAAAGGTGTCATTTAGAAATATTCACTCATGATTTGCAGTTATTGTAGCACTCTAACAACAGGTTTTTACCTTATTTTCAATTTCCCTATCAGATTGGTAAATGTCACTCAGAAATATTAACTATATTAATTATAGTAATGCTGATCTAAGATCTTAAAGTGGGACTGGAAAGGGAAATGTCTAGATGGTCTGGCAAACACATACTGTGTCTTTGTGTTACTGACATTGAACTTATTTTTATCTGTTTCAAACTGAAATTTTATCTTTTAAAATTTATAACTCCATTTGCCCAATATTGAATTGCATTTACTTTTTTATTCCAATTTCCAGTACCACTTTAACACTTACTCAATTTGAATTGTCAAATCAATAGTTTGTGACTAAATCTTTTTGTTTTCAAACAGTACTGTTTTGTCCTTACACTTTTAATCAACAGACACAATGTTAGCTGGCCAGTCACACTGTCCGGGCCCCCCAGCAATCCTTCTCCTGCTGTTTGCCATCCACATGTCAATGGATTTCTCTGGGTTGAATTCAGCCAGATCTGGACCTTCAGAAGAAAGCAAGATTAAATCTGACAGTCTCTGTTCAGACAGGCTGCTCTGTATTTTTATTCTCTTCTGTGCAGAAAGGGCTCTCTCACACTCTGCGCAGCTGATTGGAAGAGTGAGTATTATTCTCACAAGATGAAGTACATTGCAGAAGTCAGTCTTGTATGGGTCTTTGGTCAGTAGGATTTGCAACAGATCAGAATAAGACTTGTCCCTGAAAGTATTTGCAATAAAGAATTTCATGTGTCTCCATTCCGTCTGAACAACTTCCATATTGCATCCTGCAGCCACAAGAGGTTTTCCAAACCATTCACAAATAATGTCTATTTCATGATTTCCAAAATGGACAAGTTCCCTTTTGCATTCTGGCCATGTGTCATGATTGAACACCTTAATGAAACTTTTCACCACACCTTGAGCATCTACACTTGTATTTGTTCCCAACAGATTTTGAAACCTTGACTCTAGTTCTTTGATTGTAATGTCAACTGTAGACTCAACGTGCTTCTTTAGTTTTTCTTTGGCCTCATAAACAGGACTCCTGGTCATTTCAACTCCTTGAAATTTGGGATTACCCTGCAAATTTTCAGACTGTTGTTCTTCAATACACAGGATAAACTTTTCATACATTCCCCCAGGAATGTATTCCTCCTTCAGACTTGAAACAGTTTCCATACAATCCTTAATTGATGCAACTGCTACAGGAAGAATCAGATTGTTTGTCTGTAGATTTAGACTGAGCAAAGCTAGCTCGCCAAATGGATCAGATACGAAATGGCAAAATGCAGTGAATACAAGATCCTTCAATTGCTTGTTTATTTTCTTAGCTCTACCAGCAATGTCTGCATTTAATGATGTTGCTGCAAGATTTTCCATATGAGTGTAGACTGCTGCGTATTGACCATGATCCTCAGCCAAATGACCATCTTTCTTTCCTTGGAGAAAGACTCTCATTGCCCTGTCTACATGGGGAATCCATCTGGTACCCTTCACTGGTGCTGGTGAATAGATTCTTGCTTCAAGTTCTTCTCCAATGATCTTGAGTTCTCTCTTGCTCTTTGGACTGAAGTGGTAAGTCTTCCATATCAAATGTAGACAGTCATTGACAGACTGCATAATAGGAGTCTGTTTTTGTAGTTTCAATAGGACTAATTCAAGCCTATGTGCCATACAGTGAAAGTCTATGAGATGGAGAACTTCCTGCCTTAACAGTGACACAACACCATTCCTCTGTCCTGTATTCACATTTGCCCCATCTGCACAAAACCCAACAATTGTCGATGACATTTCATCATCACTGATCCCCACTTTTGAAAGAGCAGATTTAGTAGCAGAGATAATGCCTTTAGAATGGTCATGTTCAATGGCAATAACTTCAACAAGTTTATTTTCTGCTTTGCCATTCAACACTGTTCTCACATAAACTGCTTCATTTTCTGACACAGAGCTGTCAGTGGCACCATCAATCATAACTGACACATAATGAGAGTCACTGATAGATTCCAATGTCTCATCTCTGATCGTGCTTGCAATAGTAGACATCATTTCACCACACCTAACATCGTTACTGTATGCAGGTGTCACAGGTAGCCCATTTTTGTATTGAAGTAAGAGTAGGGGCTTGACTTTTGTAAAAGCCATTTCTTCCTTCACTATACAATAAACTGTGTTAAATTTAACTTTCAAATCCGTCAAATCCTTTTCATTTGATTTGATTTCTGCATCGAGAAATTTCTTGGCAATGTGAGACTTTTCAATTGAGTGTTTGCTTGTTTTATTAATGATAAAGTCACGGATCTTGCCATGTCTAAGACTTTTACTATGGGCAAGGACGTTTTCACATTTAAATTTAGTACTACTATGTACAAAATCAGTTTTTCCAGCCAAAGTTGAACTAGCCCTATGACAAAAATCACAATACATCGCATTTTTTTCTCTATCGCAACGAAGCCAGGCGAAAGTTGACAACTAAACTGGTCGGAATTCTCGTACAATGGACGTCTTACTTTCATTTTGTGTGTCATCATAACTTTGTTTATCATTCGGGGCATTCTTTTGAGTCTCAGTTTCATTCAGCATTTCTACTTTGTCCGATTTTGCGAAGAAAAAAAAAACTGTGTCAAGTGTTTGTGCCACATAATCATCCTGCTTACAAGAACATACTGGTACATATCTATGAAAAAATTATAAGACAATTAAACTTAGAGAGTTAAAAAAAAAAAAAATTAAAATTACCTGTGGGGGTTGCATTAAGTAAAGTAAATGCTTTCCATGACCTCCAGAACTAGTCAACTCATATGGCCATTTGATGGTCAGTCTGGAATTTGGCACCGATCCAGGCCCCTTGTTATAGATCTGGAAGAAAGGAAAAAAAAAAAGAAAAAATAAGGAGAAGCTTGAAGCAACAGAAATGTTCTACAGAAGGATGCTGAGAATACCGAAGTTTTTCGAGAAAATGGAACACTTATATTTAACGTCAGCAAAAAATCAGTTAAAGTTTCTGGGGACATATAATGAGAAAAGGATTGAAAAATTTGACACTCACAGAACAGATTGAAGGCAAAAGGAAGACAACGTATAGCTTATCTAGTGAGCTTGAGTGAATGCATGGCTGAAAAAGGTTTAGGAGAGATGATAAAAAGACAAAATTTATTAAGAGCTACAAAGGACAGGAAATTAAGGAGTGCCATGATCACCAATGTCTTGAAGAGATACAGCACATAGAGGAATTAAAATAAAATTGTCTGCAAGACTCACTCCCTAACTATTAATACATGGCCAGACAATAAGAACATTAATAATGTTAGACAGATACTACACTCTGATCATCTATGAAATCAGAACATTAATAAAAACTATATTCATAGTCTAGGTTGACCATCACTAATCTGACACTGTTTGGATGTTTAGGGTACTAAATAAGTAATTTTTGCTTGATTAATGATGCCTATATGAGAATATTTTTAACTTAATAGCTAACATGTTATCCTACCTATAGAATACCCTTTAAATCAGTACACAGTGTTTAATAATGGAAAGAAAAACATTAAATGAAGACCAAATGAAATTAAAGAGAAACCAGGTGCTTCAAACCAATATTCACTAAAAAAATGTCTGTGTGTATTTATATATTAACTTCATCAGACTTAATTGGATAATGCTGCTATATCTGGTTTAGCACTCATGCTATTCATCTGTTTCTTAAAAGAATATATTAAAGAAACCTCAAAAAGTTTAAATAAAAGACTATATGAATACAAAAGAGACATTTTAAAAAACAATACACAAAATGCATTGGTTGTTCTCCATAAGAAAACTGACCAGAATGCTACTCTAATTAAAAAAGAAAATAATTCACTAAGCCAAAAATGTCTAGAAAGTGCTTTAATCACTAGTTCAGCCATAGTAGATTTACATCCAGGTTCTTGCAATGTATCACCATTCTTGGCAAATTTTTTTGTTATCACAATGGGGGATATTTAAAAAACAAAGATGGTGGAAAGAAAAAGTGAAAAAAAGAAAAAAAAAAAAGGTTTGCTTTTTTTTTCTGTTAACTGTATTTTGAAGAAAAAAGTATATGGATAAAAAAGAAAGGGAAGAAAGAGTCCTATATCTTTATACTTAGTCTAAAACTACTTCATCAAAATGCTTGCAATATGGAGATAATGTTTTCTCATCCCAAAGCTTTCTTTCTGTTCAATTCTATGGCAGTTATGAGGTTATCAGTTCTGGATGAGTTCATTATCTTATGAAAATGTCTGTTCTCCCACTATATTGGTATAACCGATTTGGGTGCATATTGGACTTGTGTAATGTTTAAAGGAAATTCACACAGTGTTGATGAATACAAAATATCACAATATAATAATACAGAAAGTTGTGGCCCTGTTGTGTGCTTTGCTGAATGTCACTCTTATTTTGGTCCATCTCCATTGGTCTGTCTCTGGTGAGCCTGCTCTGCACTAATCCTGTGATCCCATGTTATGTTTCAGTATACACAGGAATATTGGTGAAAAACTGTCAAAGATCAGGAAAGGAAAGGAATATGATTGGTGGTCCAATAAGAAAAAAAATGGTGCTGTGTCGTAAGTAATTGGAGGGGAGGGGAGAAGCTTCATTCCAGCCCTTCTCTCATTGATGAGCCAATTCAAATTGTGCCCTTGTATCATTCCTTTAATGGAACATTTTCCATGTTCCAGAATCTCACCCTCATTTGACCTGATTATCACAAGTATCATTGTCACCTCCATCTGATAGTGTATTATATCCCTGATCAAAACAAACCTAACCTGTAAAGATTGTTTCACTCATTTCAACTAATAATTTCTTTATCAAATGAAAACAATGCACAAATTCAACAGACCTAAGACTATACCTAACAACCAGTATCACCCAAGCTCACAATTTCACTTCTCACCAAACTCTAAAATGTACAAAACCTGAAAAATCATTATATCACATTTTTTTTAAAATGAAAAATATTTTTCCTTCCTTAGAAATAAAAATTAGATCACCAGTCAACCTTTGACACCAGTGATGATGTCATACATACGTTAAAGAAAGTGTACAGTTGTGGTTCTGTTGCTGCATGCTTTGCTGAATGTCACCCTTCATATTTTGCTGAATGTCACCCTTCATTATTCCATCTCCGGTAAGCTCGTTCTGCACCAATTCTGCACTCCCATGTTGCGTTTCTGTATCCACAGGAATATCAGTGAAGAACTATCGAAGATGAGGCTCGACTACTTTTTGTACTGGTTATGCTTGTAAAAGACTAAAGTCACTAGTGTTGTCGGTAAACTTAATTAATTTCAACAACACTCATTAACAAGTGTAAAAATAACAACTTTTATTTATGTTACTGTGATTAAGATCATGAATACATAAACAAAAAGGATTTGAAGAACTTTCACTATATAAGGAATTCTTGTGTTTGGTGAAAGAGGTTGACTGGAATTTGCAGGTATGGATAAACAGCCTAGAGTCATTCAACAATTTAAATGAAGGTAGTTGATCCAGGGAATTCAAAAAGCAATACAGAGAACAGGATTTAGCTGACTGAGGCACCATGGTCATCCGGCAGGGAGAGTGTTGGTCTACTAGCAGTGAGACCAGCTGGATCTTACTACTGCTTTTATAAGGGTGCAAACCCCCAACTGCATTGCTCTGATTGGCTAGCCAATAACAATACTTGACCAATGGTCTTGTGTCATACGCCTTGAAGAGGGAGGAAGGAAATCTCCCAAAAGCTCAATATGATTGGTGGTCCAATCAAAATAATGGCCCTGTGTCGTAAGTATCGGAAGGGAGACGAGAAGCTCCATCCCAGCCCTTCTGTCATTGGTGAACCAATATAAAATGGTGGCTTTGTATCACCCATATCCACCTTCAGTGAAACATTTTCCATGTTCCAGAATCTCACCTTTGTTTGACCTGATTATCACAGGTGTCAATTCTATCTGAAAGTGTATTGTATTCCTGATCAAAACAAACCTGACCTGTGAAGATTTGCTTTGTGTAACTCATTTCAATGAACAGTTCCACTGTTAAATGAAAATAACATTTAAGTTAAACAGACTTAAAACTGTACCTAACGACCAATCCCATCCAAGCTTACAATTTCATTTCTCACACTATACTCTATAAGTGACACAAACTAGATAATTCATGGTATCGCATTGTTTTAACATGAAAATATTTTTTTTTCTTTAGAAATAAAAATTAGATTGCCAGTCAACATTTGACACCAATCATAGCGTCATAAGGATAAGGTGATGGTTGAAGTAAAAGTCCCTGGCGCATATGATAGAGAAAGAGTCTGGGAGGACAGTATATCTATGTATGTATCCAAATGTAGTAGCTGCTGCTTGACAATGTGATGACGGAAGGTATATTTGTTTTCAATGTAGCAAAGATGGTATAGCCATCAAAGTTCGCTAGCTAGTTGTGAAAATGTCATATTTTTTCTCTGGTTAAGTTACAATGACTGTAGCATCAGAGAATGGACAAAATTAATTTATCATCACCAGTTTTGGTTGATTTTCCATCTGTTTATATGCACATCTATAGATGCATTTTGAAAAGGCCTCTTGCTTCTCATTGGCTTGAGGCCTTATATCCTAGATATATAAAGATTTCTGATTGGTTGAACTTTGCCTTTGTTTGCTGGGCAATTTTTATTTTTAGAGATAGTGAAATTTTTCTTTTCTTGTCATTTATTTTTTATTTATTTCTTTTGAAAATTTTCTTCTTCACTTTGCTGAGGTAACTGACATATTGCAAGTTCAACATAATATTTATGCTACAACCATCATGGTCCCACCTGAAATTGCTAAGTAAGAATTAGGAGTACACATAAAATACAGCACAAAATTTAAATACTTACTTCATAGGTGTGATTAACAGCAGGACCAATGTCATCTTCTGTTTTAACAGCACTTTCACCACGGACTTCACCGCTGTAAACCACTTGCTCTGGAGATGACCGACTAGAGGGTGTTAAAAAGGAAAAGTTGCAAGAATAAACATCTTTACCTGTGTAATGTTATGCATTATTTTATTTGATTTCAATTGTGCTGCATTTTGAATTTTGAAGTTGATCTTCTAGACTGGTTTCCAATCACAGCTAGAGAGCCCAATGTCTATTTCTTAAATGGATTGATTTGTTTTTTTTAAGCCTTTTGCAGGTTATTTAAAACCAGAAAATATTTTTAGACTGTAAGAATTTTTTGGAAATAATGATTTACTGATGCAAGTATTACTAATTAACCCATAGCTGGAGAAAGAAGAGGTGGATTCATATCTTTTCCAAGGGTATTTAGTCGTAAGTGAATATAACAAACCAGACTGGAATTGGAACTCGGCTCACTGATTTCAAATTCAGAGCTGTTATCCATTACACCACTCACACATCCAAGCTTACAGCACCTGGTGTTCCCAAGTGGTTACTCCATAGCTTGAAGTTCATAGAGATGGACTTTTACATTTTCCAAGGGCATATATTATGTTAGTAATATCTGATAAGAATGATATTAAATTCTCCACATCTAAAATATTTCTTTATAGTTCTAGACTTCATCATATTAACATTACCTAAATCAAGGGTGTTTGGTTTTGGGTCTTTCTTCAAACATTCAATCTTCTTGCTAGGATGTGATTGATTTGCTTCTTCCCTTGTAGCTCAAGTGTTTATATAACAATCTGTTACCTGGTTGTCTTGTGCATATATGTCCTATATTTAGCTGGGTTCACTTTTTTTTAGGCTCAAACTTAAATTCAGCAAGGTTTTATCTATAGTCTCAACTATAAAACCCAACCAATGCTTAACTATAGTCTCAAGTATAAATCCAACCCATGTGCACAAACAGATTCAAGTTACCTGGATTGACATACACCTTCTTAAGGCTGGAGGACATAATGTCTGAGACATAGTGATAACAATAACAAAGATGAGGATAATAGTCTGCATCTAAATAGTGTAAATAAAGAAATACTTGTCCAAATTTAATTTAAAAAAGAAAAAAAAAATCTTTTTTTTTTTTAATTTCTCTGTGAGAAATGAAAAAAAAATCTGTAGATCATGATAATTTTGCCATAGAAATCTTGTAAGGAAAATTACTCACCCAGTGATGTGTATATCAGTCATAATGAGGACTTCAATTGTTAGGTTTGCTGTTGTATCATCAATGCTAATTTCTTCACTTGTGCTAAAAAGAAAGAAAAACGGAAAAGTCAGTTTACTCAATAAGATCATTTGTAAATTTATTCAATAAAATGCTAATAAAATCATTTGTCAGTATCAATATATCTAATAAAATATGAATAAGATTGTTTAACAATGTCAATATATTTTATTTATTTTATTTGCCCCAAATCACTTGCCGATGTCAATATATTCAATAAAAAGTAAAAAATGATTATCAATGTCAATATAATCAATGCCAGAAAATTGTATAATAATGTTAATATTTGTGTATCAAAGACAATGTATTCACTGAAATTATATACATATATACATATATATATATATATATATATATATATGTGTGTGTGTGTGTGTGTGTGTGTGTGTGTGTGTAGTTTATATTTTATATCATAAAGAAACCATTTATACAAAGAAATACCAATGTTAATGTGATTAATGGTGAAATCACTTCCCTAACAAGACTTAAGGAGACATTAACTTTCAATTCCTTGAATAATAAGATCCTTATATTCAAGTTGTCAGATGGAAGACACTTGCCAAGTACTTTTAGCAATTTCAAATTGTCATCTTAAGGTTGCAATTTTTTCCCATATGTAGTCATGTCTAGGAGAAGACCAATTCTTTGTATAAATTGTTTATATATATATATATATATATATATATATATATATATATATATATATTGAATCCATTGCTAGGTCAGCTGCTAAGATAGTTTGTTCACTGTGTTGTGCTAGACACCTTTTCTCTCTTGAATCTATCTTGCATATCCACAAGTATACCATTTGTCCATGCTTAGAATACTGCTGCCACATATAGTTCAGAGCTTTTGCTTTATATCTAGAGATACTTGTTAATGAAGAACTGGCAATATTATTGGTCCTGATCTAGTGTCTCAGCTTCACTAACTTTCCCACCACCATAAAGTTGCCACCCTGTGCCTTTTCTGTAAATACATTCATAGTAATTGTTTGGATAAGCTCTTCACAATGGTACACAGAATTTATGACTTTAAGCACAGTACTAGACTGGCAATGAGGTCTCAACCACTTACAATTGAGTTGGCTAGAAGTAACCCTAAATTCTATTTCTTTTCTTGCACTTCCCACTTGTGGAACTCTCTTCTGGTTCCAGGCTTCCAGTTAACTTTAATCTTTAAAAATTTAAATGCAATGTCAATCACTATCTGCTGTCCTCTTGATTGCTATTCCTTTGTTCCCAGTCTTTATTAATATTTGCATTTTCTAATTTTTCCACTCTCTTGTGTCTCAGTGGCTTTATTGCCTTGCTTGGGGTGAACTTGCTTAAAAAAAAATTATCAAATTTGTCAATATATAAAAAAAAGAAATGATTTCACTGACTCATTGCTTGCTAACTAAAATATATATTATGAAATGGACTTAGTCTGACAATTATTTTGATATATTTTTTGTTTATATGTTATTTTTATACATACAAATATTGAAGTAAATCCTCTGTTTATAATAAACAGTATTGACTACATTTATTGGCCTGAAAATTATGTTTATTTTTCACTATAATTGTCACATCTTTGTCATAATTGTCATGTATTTCTTATTGTAACTGGCAGGTCCTTCTCTTTGTAATTGTTATTTCTTTGGCAATGAAATAAGATGTTTTTTAGTACTTTCAAGAATTAAAATCATTGTGCAAAAAAGAAACAATCTTTTCACACAAAACATAAGCAAAAAATGTAAATAAATATTGTACATACGTTGAGATTTTAGCATACAGTTTCAAGATGTTTGTACTAGAGTCAGGATCATTCACTTGCAGTTTGACCTTGAAAGAGAGTCTTGTACCTTGGAGAAAAGGGTTTCCCAGCCGATCACATAATATTAAAGTCTTGTTCTTTGCAGCACAATCTACAGGCTGTTTGCTCTGGAACAAAAAACAAAATGGGGTAAAAATAAGTGAACCGTCTTTCAAAGCAAGTATATATGGAATATTTCCGGGGACCATCTCTTTGTCCCTGTATTTGAAAAATTGGACAATAACCTTGACAGACGATAGATAAAAATGGGTGTATGGAATTGGACAGCAGATTGTCTAAATAGAGAGATATATGCTCTGCAGTGAGCTTAAATATATAACTCTGTCAGTGTCATGTACCAATACAGGATGACTGAGAAAACACTCGCTATAAACAAGTGACTTTTTTTTTTAAATAAAGCATCTTAATTGGTAGACAGAAAAAAAAACGAGTTATATTTTACAATACATTGTGTTTCCTCAACTATTCTATGTGGGAAATGAAATACAAGGAATAGAATAAACCCGAGCTAGTAATGTTTCATCATCATTGAGCTGACCCTAAATTTTATCCAGTCCTGATGAACAGTTGTAAACTCAATGATGCTCCTTGCCTTGAATGTCTATAGGGACTCAAGCTCACTCCAGACCTCAAATGGAACTTGTACATACAATCTATTGCTAAAGAAAACAGAGGGATTCTTGTACCATTTTAGAAAGTACCTGATTCCTCCAGGTATGCTCTATATTTGTAAGAGTTAGATCATACCAAAAATGGAGTATTGATGCCAATTCTAGTTAGGAGCTGCCAAATTATCATTATCCAGCACAGATAGAATCCTTCAGCCATGTTTCCTCTTTACATGAATCAGATCAGACTAAAAATGGAGTATTGCTACCATCAAGTTAGGAGCTGGCCAATCCCCATTATCTAGTTTGACAGAAATCAAATCATTTGTACAGCCTTGTGACTGATGAAACATTTTCCCCACAGTCAAAGCCCATTGCTACTCTATTGCTATTTTTCATGACAAATGTTCAGACATGCGATATTTCTTAGATCCACCAGTTCAGTCCTTCCCAACTAGGACCAGTCATACCATGTACACAGTCATTCCCTTCATATTTTATTGGTAATTTGCAAGTTTCACCCAGTTTTCTTTTTGCTCCAAAACTGTTACATCTTGAGTGGATGCTTTCCAAATCACTATGAATGTCTAAGTCTGTTAACCTTTGCCTATTCTTATTTTATTCAGTCAAGCTAGTTTGGGCATTCATGGGTCTATCATGCCAATCCTCAAGATTGGAAGGTCATTAGAGAGGTGTTCTGTGTCATAACATAGCTGGTCAATGTAGATAGTTGCTGGGTGACCAACCCGTCTTGCTCCATTACCTAAGTGACCAGAAAAGTAGATCATTCACAAGTTCTTGTTTCACTTGCTAGCAGTGTCCTGCAAAGTGCATTCTGTGTTTGTGTAAGATTATAGAAATATCAAAGATGGGTTCATAGAGCTGTGATTTAGTTGGATATTGTCTCTATTGGATGTTAAGTATAGCTTTCAGCATCAGAGTGTAAGTTCCATCAAACTTAGACTCAAGGGATTTAGTTAATGTCCAAGCAGTTGCGCCATACATTAACACCCCACCTCTACAGTGACTTGACAGAATCACTGTCCTCAAAATATGCAATTCTTACTTTCTCTTGTTATGTCCTCTACAAGAATCCCATTCAGTAACCCTCTACCTTGAGAGGCTCTTGGGTCTGGTATTAGGTGAAAAATAGTATATAAAAAAGGCAGTTTACAAAGTTTTCATCTAGATTCCTCATGCTTTTCAGTCATAATCTCTACTTATAAAAGACTTTACATGGAAAAAAAGGAACCCATTTCTGTGACATTGGGTGTGATTAATTATTTTCTATCCTACAACCTCTTTCTGCACAGACAAAATATTGTAAGCCTCTTGCTACTCTATTGCTATATGCATTGGAAAATATTCAGACAAGCTATATTCTGTAGTTCCACCAGTTCAAACCTTTTAAGCTATGACTTGCATCAGTTCCGCTCAATTTTTCTCTCCAGAATTGTTGTGTCTTCAATAGATGCTTCCCAAATCATGATGATCTTAACTTCTTCAAGTCTAAGGTAAACCCTTATCTATCCTATATAGCCTCAAAATATGCACTTCATTCAGTAACCCACTACTTTAAATGGCTCATGGGCCTTGTATTAGGTGAAAAATCACTCTCTCTCTCTCTCTATATATATATATATATATATATATATATATAAAACAGAGGATGTCTGTGTGTCTGTCTGTATGATACCTTTTCACTCGAGATCCATCCAACTGATTTTGACCAAACTTGGCAAATACATTGTACAATGTAAGTGATAGGGTCTTAATTTAAAAAAAATCAATAATCGATAATGTCACTCAAAAATCGATAAATTCAACTATTTCCTCCAATTTCGTTCAAACTCGGTATGTAGGTTACTTACATCATGACAAGCTCAACGATACCACATTTTTATTTCTACACCACTGTGTTTAGCAAAAGACTGTGAAAAACAAAAAAAATCGATTTCAATACATATTTTAAACTAAAAACTCCCTCAATTTTTAAGTAGTCTAATACAAACTTCACTCAATTGTAGCCAACAATAAGTTGATTGTTTAACAGTCATTTAACTTGATAATTGAGTCCACCCATATAGTGAAAACCCACATAATAGCAAAAAATGGCAATTTTTACTTGTTTCTTTCTTATTTTTCATTGATCTTTCAATCAATTTTCATCAAACTTCAATTGCTTTATAAATGTACCCGCTTTTACAACCCTAGTAGTACGCTGACGAATTGAATTTCAAAAACTCCAAAATAATTGTGGTCTGAAGTGGGTCTTCATAATGTCTGTTTTCCTTCTTCATGTCCTTGGCTAACTTTGATTGAATAAATACAGACTACTTGTTATATCAGTAACTGCATCAATTCAAATTACTGGTTTTTGACAAATACAATTGTTGTAGAAGACATTTTTTGGTAACTTAATGACCACAAAATCACAAAATGCCTCTAGAATTCAAATGAAATTCCCACATCAGTCATCAAAGCTTCTCACTTAATTCTTGTTCTGGGTCACTATACATTACACACTGCCATGGATACATGGTCAAAGGGATTAGAAAATCTACTTTCAGACCATGAAAACCAATTTCAAATTTCATTGGGGTCGATTTATCAAGATGGTGAGATCTTGATGTCATCAGCCTGGAGAAGCATGTGACATCTTTGGAAAGTGCCTGAAAAACATATCATGAATCCAAACATTACATCAGCTACACATCCTTAAATCTCATTAATCAAGACAAAAGAGCTGTCTGCATTGCTGTTCTTTTTATAGCTAAGTGGGAGGCGTGGATTCATGCCTTTCCGAAGAACACTAGTACATAGTGAATGCAAACAGTCTCAGCTGGTTTTGAAACTTGATTTATCAACTCCATTCCTTGTGTTGACTTACCTCGCTGTAATCCACACCTTGATAGTCAAGATTTCCTGGAATTCTCAAGAAGAGTTTAGTATCATAAGCAGGTTCTCCTCGATTAGTAACAGTAAACTGAATCTGTAAAGAATTGGTCTCTTTATTATTGAGGACATAAGGATCCTTGTCATTGACTCTGAAAAAAAAAATATGAAAGATTAATGGTATCACCACTAATGCCCCAGTTTTATATATATATATATATATATATATATATATATATATATATATTAATATTTTCTGTTGTTCTCTGTGAACCACTTATATTCATTTCTCTTATTTTATCATAGTCAATATCAAGAATAAACTTAACTCCATAATACCTACTGCTCCAAAAATGAGACAGTGGGCATTAATGGGTTGTATAGATAAAAACCTACAATATAGGATTTTTCTTTTAAGCATGTAATATCATCAAAATCGGATGAAAACTGTGGAAATGCATAAACAACATCTGATTGAACACACACATACATACATTTTGAGAATTATAGATATAGATTACTTACTTCTCTGGTAGCTACATGAAATCGAGTATTTAATTTCTTAAATATTTTTTACATTCCATAAACATTAAAATTACTGAAAATTTAATAAAGAGGAAGAAGAAAAGACCCACTTACTTTGTAAGGTTTACTGGTTTGGCAAATAAAACAAGATCCGATTGGCACTGATTGTCACTCCCACATTCTTTCTGAATCTCAACCTATTGTAGAGTATTGTAAAAAAAATTGACACAATTAAAGAATCATGTTTTTTCCACAAAAAAAAAGTGATGTTTATAAGAAGACAGCTCACAATTAAACATTGTCATCATTATTATTATCTATATAATAAATACGAATGTCAATGTCTCATATTTTTTCAACTTTCCTCCTAGAAGCCATAGCCCAACATATACCATATTGGAATCAGGCCAACCGTGAGCAAATTAATAACATTCTGGGCTGGATCTAGAACTGCAATCCTGAAATTTGGGATTCCTAACAGATTTTATAGTAAATGTTTGAAATTTATACAATAAACTAGATATTTTACCAAGCTTTGCTGACATGAAATTCATTTTAATCTTATGCTATCCACCATTACTGGCCTCTGCATCAAAGAACAATTGATTACTGCAATTGTTTTTATGAAATTTTTTGTGACAAATTTTTTTGTATGGTAACAATTTTTATAACTTGAAAATAAATTTGGGAATAACTGAAATTAATTGTGAAATCTAGCAAAAGTCACCCATGAAATAAAAATCATTGTTTGTATGGAAAGTAAGGATCTATGTACATCAAGTTGTCTTTAAATCAAGTGGCAGCAGAAGAAATGTCGTTGAACTTTTAAAAGGTAAGCCTAAGTATTAATGCAATACTTAAATGCAGTGATCAATTTTGAGTTCTATAGTTTATTGTTGCCTAACACATCTATTCCTCCCTATATATTGTGATGAAGGCTCAATCAAGAGACTTCCACAGAAGCTAGCTTAAATGCTGCCCGATAGTGTGTCTGTTAAGTTATTAATAATTTCTAATATTTCTTTCATCTGAATATCTGTTTTCTACAACAATCTCTAGATCTGGGGTCTGAAACTCAAGGACACCAAAAAGCCATTATGTGCTGAGGAAGTGGTGTAGTGGGGCAGGGGATTGTTGAAACCAATGGTGAGATCCAAACTATTTTATTACCTACTATTATTACTACTACTAATATTATTATTAGTATTACTATTATTAGTACTACTACTATTAGTATTACTATTATTACTACTACTAATATTATTATTAATATTACTATTATTACTACTACTACTATTAGTATTACTACTAATATTATTATTAATATTACTATTAATAATACTACTACTATTAGTATTACTATTATTACTACTACTAATATTATTAATATTACTACTACTACTACTACTACTACTACTACTATTAGTATTACTATTATTACTATTACTATTATTAATATTACTATTATTAGTATTACTATTATTACTACTACTACTATTATTAGTATTACTATTACTACTACTATTATTATTATTAAAAATTATTAACTAAAATAAAATTAAAAAATTGAATTAAATTAATAAATAAAAAACTACAGTCTTTTATTTATTAATAAATTTTTAAATTTTTAAAAAATTTTATTTTTATATATGTAATTATTATTTATATTATTTCAGTTTGTGAAATTGATTTATGTTTTCAAAATTTATTTTAGTCCTGTATGCTGGTTAGGGAAAAGAGTATTTTTATTAGGAAAGGAGATATTTAAAAAAAAACTAGGACTCAGATTTATATATTTTGATAAGATTCAATAGTTGTACTCTCAACAATTTTATATGTATATATATTTTTACAAAAGCTTTTTGCAGACTACATAGTCTACAAGTTATACAAAAACATATTTTTCTCAATAAATGAACTTACTTGTCTTTCCTCAGTTGTCTTATCAGAATTGATCAAGTCAAGGATTGGATAAGAATTAATATCTGGTGGAGAACTTGTCCGAACCGGTTTTGGTACCATTAATTCATAGCTGAACTGGAATTTGATTGGATTTAGCTTGTCTCGAAAAGAATCCTAGAAGCATAAAAAAGAAATTGATATGAAAACAGTTCAATTTTTCAAAATAAAAATAACTAAAAATTTAAATTGCATAGATTAAACATTCTTGTCATATATATATATATATATATATATATATATATATATATATAAAACTAGGAACCTAAAGAGCCAGGCAAACCCTAACTAGGTTTCACCTATGTGTATCGTCAGGGTACCCTTGGCCAAAGAGGTAACATTAGAACAGAATATAAATAACCTACAACATGAAAACATGACCAGGTGACAAAAAAACCCAAAAAAAAACAGTAACTCAACAAAGGGAGTGGTTAATACATATTAATTCAATAACAAAAAAAAAGAGAGTGAGGAAAACCAAACCTATATATATATATATGAAACATCTGTCTATATTTCTGAGATGAGGTATTATTTACATTATTCGGACTATTGTCCTCATCTTTGTTGCCATATTTATTACAATGTTTCAGCCGTTGTATGCTCTGGCCTTCTAGGTGGTTGGAATGTTGAACTGACCCCTTTATTTCAAAATGTTGTAATAAATATGGCGACAAAGATGAGGACAACAGTCCAAATAATGTAAATAATGTATATAAAACATACTAATAGAAAATATAAGTATAATAGCCTCATCCACATGTAAAAAAAAGATTAAAACTAATGGAAGGACTAATAATAAAAAAGGAAAAGCCAACACTCAATAACATTAACTAAGAACACAGCCACAAAGTGCTGACCCTGTTTGGAAAATCAAATGTTCTCATAACTTCAGACATGCACATGAAACACCCACACATTCAGTTAAAAATAAAAATATCCTTGATAATGGCTAAAAGAATAGCCAAAGGCGCATGGATATGCAGAACTTTTGGACAATTTTTACACACTTTGTGTCCACAAAAGAAAACAAGAAAAGTAAAAAGCTTAATTGCAGTACCTTGTCAGTCATTTTTAATGAAACTTCTATAAAAGGATTGCTGCCTAAATACACAATTGTATATGTGTGTATGTATGGTTTTAAATTTAAATGTTAGTAATATATAATGAGTGAGTCTCAAAGGCATCAAGGTCCAAATACCCTACTGAAGAAGAATGTAAATTAAGTATGACAACTAATTCAGTATATGTGAGATTTAAAATGAATTTTTAAAAATGAAAAAAAGCTTTCATTTTAGCTTTAATTGAAAGCTGAAGGATTTAAAATTTACTATTTCCAGTCAGTAAAATACTCTGTGGTGTATTTCAAATAGAAATTATATTGATTGGAATCAATTTTTTTTTTCAGTAAAATCAATGAAAATGGCCATTTTGAGACATTTGTAAATGAAAGTTAATTTTGGATTTTAAAAATCTTGCAAAATAAAATATGTATTTTTGAAATGTTATTTCTAAATAAGACTCCCATAAAGCAAGTGACCTGTTGCTGTAGACATGGCAACAGTGTTTATACCCACCTTCCTCTACAGTCTGACCTTGTTTTTCATCTTTCTATTTTAGCTTACATCTGACATTTAACTGGTTAATCCAGACATGCTCACAAGTATGTTTTAATTCTGACGTTAGGCTTGCCCTCCTTTTTTAACTTTCAAAAGAGGTAAGGATTTATATGTTATCTACCATCGCCCAATGAGGAATGATTAAAGTGCCGACACATAAAAGTTTTTTTTGTGTAGTGATGTAAAATGTTTTTATTGTAATCTATTATAATAAAAATATTAATCATAATATATATATATATATATATATATATATATATATATATATATATATATATGACAATAGGAAAACTGGTAATTGCTATATATGGATAAAAATGACTTTATCAAAAAAATTTTTTTTTTTCGTATTTTGATTTGATAAATACCACATTGGACGAAATGCGTCAGCAATTTCCAGTTTTCCTATTGTCATTTTTATTCATAAATATTGTCTCTACTGGTTAAATCGGAGAGATTTTCATATATATATATATATATATATATATATATATATATATACACTAACACAAAAACACACACATATATATATATATATATATATACACACACACACATATATGCACACACACACACACATATATATGCACACACACATACACATATATGCACACACACACACACACATATATACACACACACACACACATATATGCACACACACACACATATATATATGCACACACACACACACATATATATATATGCACACACACACACACATATGCACACACACACACACACACACACACACACACACACACATATATATATATATATATATATATATATATATATATTAGTTGTATAATACACTTCAGATGCATCAAGTGTGGTCCTTATCACTGATTTAGGGTTTTGCATCATATCAGCTCAAACAGCAACCCTGACCTGCTTCCAGAAAGGTCAGGCCACCTCTTTGATACCGTTGTGCTATGCACCTTGTCATTGTAAAAAAAAATTCAAATATAGCAATGAGTGACTGTTCTTATTGACATACACCAGTCAATATCAGCCAATGAAACAAAGGCTTTTCATACTTCCCACCTATATACTGTCATCTTTTTGCTTTATCTGGTTTTGATTCAAGCTACTTCCCACAGAATCCATAACAAGGTAAGCTGGACTTGTTCTTGCATAGTTTAATCCAATGTTTCTACATTTTAAATACTAATCCCGTAACTTGTTAACTAAACCTTACTTATAACTTATATTACTGTTTAAAAAAAAAAAAAAAATGTATTCATTATTCTTAATGATATAAATCTTTAAGTCTAACATTATACTGTTAATCAAACGAAATTAAAAAAAATGTACATTCCTGCCTCTACATATAAATATAGTAATATATATATATTATATAATATATATATATATGTACTCACACACATATGCACGGACACACACACATAAATTCTTATCCCCATTTACATTAATTCACTTTTACAAAACCGTTCATTGCAAAATTAACTCCTACTATATATATATATTCACAAAACACACACACACACACACACATATATATATATATATATATATATATATATATATATATATATATATAATATATATATATATATATATAGCTAGCCAGTCCTTATTGCAGACACTTGCTCAAGTGCATTTGTGTTTGTTCAACACCCATAGAGCACACCTTTTAGTTACAGTTTCTGGGAAAGAGCATTTTATCTTTTATGATCAACAATTTAAACAAGGACAGCACACACAAACCCTTGATGACTTCTGACTTCATGCTAGCACAGTTATAGACAGCTACCAAGGGTTCTGTCTACCCAATTTCACTCACAATGCTTGATTTTCAGGCACTTTCCACAGGTGCCAAACACTGGGATCGAACCCTCCAGCCAGATAACATCAGAAAGTCTCCTTGACAAATCGGCCATGAATATTGGACTGATCATTGTCTGGTAAGAGCAAGAGTCCAGCATGTTGTCCATAAAAAGAAAAGGTAGGGAGGGGGTATCACTTCCAAAGAGGCTGAATGTTAGCGGTCTTCAAGTTTCTGAGGTTAGACAGAGTCTGGTCAATAAGTGAAAATAACTGGACTTCTTTCAAGGAGGCAGTTTATGACGCATGTACTGAGACTGTTGGATATACTAATAAGAAGCATCAGGATTGGTTTGATCAGAATGACAAGCACATAGAAAAGCTCTTGGAAGAGAAAAATAAACTCCACTCTGCATTATTTGATAGTGATGATCAGAAGAAAATAATTGAGGCCAAGTTAAGGACAGTAAAAGCTGATATGCAGCAAAATTTGTGCAAGATGAACAAATGGTGGAGTGACAAAGCTGATGAAATACAGCTTGTGTCAGATGTGAAGGATAGTGAGGCCATGTACAATCTACTTTGTGAAGTTAATGAGTTTTCTACTTCATCTGTTGCTCCTCTAAAGATGGCAAAAAACTTCCTCGAGATCCTAAAGATATTCTGTTGAGATGGCATGAACATTTTGATGATCTTCTCAATAGCTACTCAGAGGTTGACAGCATTTATCAGGTCTATACCTGAAAAACCTGTTAAAGAATTTCTCACAGAGTCTCCAATGTTTGAGGAGGTTGAAAGTGCTGTCAGAAAACTTAATGGTGGAAAGTCACCTGGGATGGATGGGCGGCATACCAAGATTTTTAAGTACAGAGGAGAGTCTTTTGCATTGGCTTTATTCATTGTTGCTACATGCCTGGAGCAATAACAGTGTTACGGATAACTGGAAAGATGCTGTCATGGTTGTTTTGTACAAGGGCAAGGGGCACAGGGATGATTGTGGAAATTATCATGGCATATTGCTGGTGTCAGCAAGGTTCTTTATGGAGTTCTGCTAGATCGCATGTTGCACCATATTGCTAATGAAGCCCTTCCAGAGTCACAGTTGAGCTCCAGGGCTGGACATGGCACTGTAGATATGATCTTCACAACCAGACAACTTCAAGAAAAGTGTGTTGAGCAAAATATGGATCTCTACCTGGTATTTGTTGACTTGACAAAGGCATTTGATACAGTAAACAGAAAAACTTTGTGGAATATTTTAGGGAAGCAGGGGTGTCCTGAAATTTTTGTTTCCATTCTTCGCTTGTTTCATGATATGAAGGCATGGGTTAATGTCGGTGGAAAGCTTTCTGAGCCGGGGACAGTTGAGAATGGAGTTAAGCAGGGTGACATTCCAGCTCCAATCCTATTTGCCCTGTATTCTCTATCATTTTTTGACAGGCCTTTAAGAACTGCAACCTTGGTATTTAAATTTGCTATCATTCAGGAGGTTTGATGCAAAGTTGAAGATTCACTTGTCACTGATCAGGGATTTGCTATATGCTGATGATTGCAATTTTATGGCTTACTCGGAAGGAGATATGCAGCATCTCATGAATGCTTTTTCTAATGCATGCACTGCACTGGGATTGACTATTAGTTTGAAAAAGACAGTATTCATCTACCAACCAGCTCCAGGGAAGCCATATTATGAACCAAGCAACTTTGTCTATGGTGAAAGATTAAAGGCTGTTTATGCATTTGTGTATCTTGGGAGCACGTTGAGCATGGTCTTTGATCTTGATATGGAAATCTCAAACTGCACACGAAAAACTTAGAAAACTAAATAAACGTCTCTAGTCTAAGCACGGAATTTCAATAAGTACAAAACTAAAGATCTATCAAGCATGTGTGCTTACAGCACTACTTTACACTTGCAAGACGTGGGTGGTCTATCGCAGACAAATGAAAAGGCTTGAGAGATTCCACCAGTACTGCTTACATTGTATCCTTGGCATTACCTGGCAAATTTCAGTGATGTAGAGGTGCTACAGAGGAGTGTCTGTGATAGTATTGAGTCCTTGATACTAAAACATCGACTCCAGTGGGCAGGTCACCTCACCAGAATGGATGACAGCCGCATTCCAAAGCAATTGTTTTATGGCGAGCTGTTAACAGGGAAGAGAAATGCCATCAAACCTAAGATGCGCTTTAAGGACTGCATCAAGGATGCACTGAGGAAATGCAACATTTCTTGTGAGCACTGGGAAGAATGTGCATCAGATCACAATGTTTGGAATGAGGCTGTTAGTAGTGGAAGGCGTCACCTTGAAGATGAGAAGAGGAGGCGCGCAAAGCTTAATAGAGATGTGCATAAAGGCGTCCCCATTGAGCTTCATGAAGATACCCGCAGGCATCTCGATCTAACATGTACAAATTGTGGTAGAGTGTGTTTGTTGATGGATGGTCTAAGGAGTCACTTAAGAGTGCATCAGTCGAAGGTGGAAACTGACTATAAAACCGTAAACGTCCAGTAACTGAAATGTGATATTGTGTTAAGACATGCGGGTCCAGAAGCGGTTTCATGCGACATTTTAAACTGCATGATAATGTACCAGCTGCTGTTAGACTTCTTAGGTGCCCCGTTTGTGTCAGAGTATGTAGGTCCCTTGCTGGGCTAGCCACATTTGTTCAACAAATCAGTAAATTTTCTCCAAAATATATGTAGTAATGGCCGTACTCAGACATGAGTTGGCAACCACCCTGTATGTGTGTATGTAGTGATTTTCCAAGCGTAGCTTAGATGTGGGACAAGTCCCAAAATAAGAGGCACCCAGTGAGGACTGAACTCACAACTCAGTTGTAATTGTTCCAGTGAGACAAGATTGCTAAACATTACACCACCTCAAGTACATATATATATATATATATATATATATATATATATATATATATATATATATATATATATATATATATATATATATATATATATATATATATATATATATATATATATATATATATATATATATATATATATATATATATATATATATATATATATATATATATATATATATATATATATATATATATATATATATATATATATATATATATATATATATATATATATATATATATATGTATATATATATATATATATATATATATATATATATATATATATATATATATATATATATATATATATATATATATATATATATATATATATATATATATATATATATATATATATATGTATATATATATATATATATATATATATATATATATATATATATATATATATATATATATATATATATATATATATATATATATATATATATATATATAGTGCAAGATCTAAAAGGTCAGCCAATCTAAGTGATCTCATCTCACAATTCTCACACCTGCTCCATATGTGGCCTCCTTTGTAAATCACTAAGCGGTCTTAAAATGCCACTTAAGATTATCGATAAACTTTCATAACTGAATCAAGCAGATCCTCATAATTCGTAAAACCGAATGGGAGAGCCCATTATTATTATTATTATTATATATAATTATGCATATATAAGGTCAGCAGAACTTTATAAACTTTAGCTATTGAACTAATTTTTTAATATTTTGTATATTATTATATAGTATTAATAACCTGAAAGTTTCAAATAATTGTTATGAGTAGAAAATCACTTAATGTAAAATTATTCAAAAACTCATAAAACAATTGGTGTATAGTTATAAAGCCATTTAAAAAAAAAGAGCACTGCAAGTTAAAATAATTTAAATCAACAATTGCTTAAAATTTTACAAATAATTATTAATAACTCACCAGCATTTGTGCATAACAAAACTGACATTAAAACTATGTTTTGGGTACAAAATTAAGTGAATTTGAAAAAGGTCAAATAATTGCACTCAAAAATGAAAATTTTAGTAGTAGAGAAATTGCCATTAGGATTAAGCATTCAAAAACGGTTATTAACAATTTTTTATCAAACATAGAAAATATGGAGCCAGGAAAAGAGCTGGAAGAAGCAAGTAATTAAGTGACAGTGATGTCAGAGTGAAGCAAGCAATGCCGTCTCATCCAGGCAACTCTGGAATTGGGTGTTTCAGACTGGACAGTTTGGTGAGAACTTAACAGATTGTTTCAGTTCAGTTATGGTAAGCTTATGAATGTTCCATGTTTGACAGAGCACCATATTTCAGAGCGCTTCAACTGACTTGAACAGCAAGGGAAGGTGTGTCATTTTCCGATGTAAAAAAATTTAATTTGGAAAGTCTAGATGGGTTATCTTATTATTGGCATGACCTTAGAAAGAAGAAGTTGGTCTTTTCCAAGCATGTGCAAGGAGGAGGGGGTGTTATGATATGGGCAGCATTCGGATTCAAAGGCAAAACTCCAATTGTTTTCATTGTCACAAGATTTGATGTTTTGGGTTATCAAATTTCTTGTCTACTGCTCTCTTGCCTTATTGAAAAAAAAATTGATGGTCGAAATTGGGTGTTTCAGCAAGGCAACACTCATGTTCACAAGGCCAAGTCCACTATGGAGTGGTTTCAAGCTAACTGAATCAATGTTATGTGTTGGTCCACCAGATCACCTGATCTCAATCCTATTGAGAACCTTTCAGGGATATTGGTTAGATGAGTATACAAGAATGGGCATTGATTTAATAACAGGGAAGCCTGTGATTCAAATAACTAAAATGACACTCAGAAGTTAATCTCTTCTATGAAAAATAGACTGATTGAAATAATAGACAATAACTGAAAAAAAAAAAAAAAATAAATATTAATTTGTACAAATTTTTAGTGTTTGTCACTTTTATAATAAACTGGATTTTTTTTAGTGTTTGTCACTTTTGTAATAAACTGGATTTTTTTTAGTGTTTGTCACTTTTGTAATAAACTGGATTTTTTTAGTGTTTGTCACTTTTGTAATAAACTGGATTTTTTTTAGTGTTTGTCACTTTTGTAATAAACTGGATTTTTTTTAGTGTTTGTCACTTTTGTAATAAACTGGATTTTTTTACTGTTTGTCACTTTTGTAACAAACCAGATTTCCTGCTATAGCTGTGGCAACTCGAACACAGTTTTCACTAGGTATGCCATTCTCGGCATTGATACAAATGCAAAAATCACTTCCGCTTCAACAGTTTATTTCTTGAACTTTATGCCTTTGCAACTTCCTTCCATTTACTTGCTTTCCTGATAAATACAATTATCAAAAATTTAAATGCAATGTCAATCGCCATCTTCTATTTTCCTGAATTCCATTCATTTTTTGTCCTTTCCTCAATCCACCCCAACTCAGTCTTTTCTCTCACTTTCACTCTCTGTAATCCCCTGCTTAAAAAAAAGGTAATACACTGGCAGTTTAGTCAAATGCTCAGAAATTTTGGACAATATTTACATTCATTAAGTCCATGTTATGGAGTATACAGTAGTTTCTGTATTTTCTTTTTTTTTATTTGTGAATGTAAGATTTAAAAACTCATCAAGTAATTCATCTTTAGACAACAATGTGAAAAGTCACTCACCCGTAAATAAGCTTGGACTTTCTTACAATTCTCTGAATTTTTTCTGCGTAGTTTCAGCTCACCACTTGTCTCATAGTTGGTACCTGGTGTTGGTTGAAGGAACAAGGCCCTGACAATCAAGACTTTGGGATCAAATTTCTCAGAAATGACTTTATATCTGATTTTTATTGCATCATTAGGTAAGCTGAAAGCAAAGATAAAAGATAAAAACAAAAGATAAAATAAGATAATTTGAGAAACATGATAACAAATAGCACACTATTCAAAATACTATTTCAAATACCTCTGTGCATGGATTAGTTATAGCAAATTCAATATAGGAGATAAGGAAATTGAACATGCTGATCTCTCCTCCGATCAAACACTAACTTCACAGTGGGGAAAAAAATGGCTGGGTACATTCAATGCCTCTAAAACCAAACTGATTACATTCCATCACTGTTGTTCAGACCTCGAACAACCACCAGTCATGATCAATAGATGCCCCCTCAAGGAAGTACCATGCCTTGAGACGATATTGTGTTGCAAACTCATACCCAACCTCAAGTTGAATTCCTACATACCATCCATTGCTAAAGATGCAGGTAAAATGATTGGATCCCTGTACCACTCCAGTATGTATCTGACTCCTCATACTATCCTCTATCTTTATAAGAGCTAGATCAGGCCAAAAAAGGAGTACTGTTGCCATATTTGGGCAGGAGTTGCCCAGACCCCCATTTTCCAGTTCAAAAGCATCTACGAGCCATTGTTGGAGAAGAATTATTTTCCACCCTTCAACCTGTCTCACACAGGTGGGATGTGGCGAGTCTCTCACTGCGCTATCACTACTACCATGGAAAGTGCTCAGACGAACTATATTTCTTGGTTCTGTCAGGTCTAACATTCACAGCAAGGACCCACAATGCCACTTACATAGTAGCAAACCACCCACATTCCCTCTGTATTCCATTGGTGATAAGCAAGTTCCACTCAAACAGTTTCTTCCTGCAAACCACTGCCCTGTGGAGCAGACTCCGAAGAGGATGTTTCCTTGATCACTACAATCTTAAGCAGTTCAAGTCAACCATTATCTTCGCCTCCTATCCATGTAAACTACCCCTTAATGCAAACATCTACTTTGAGTAGTCCCTGATCCTTGTACAGAGTGAACCTTACTGTATAAAAAAAAAAAGAAATTGGCTGGGCTAGTTTCTCTCAACACCACCAATTGATACAAAACTAAAACATTAGCCCCCCCAAAAAAAACTCAAGTCATCTTAAATACTCTCATCAGATCAGGATTTTCATACAGATTCTATGCATGGTGCCAAACTCGTTCAGAAATATCTAAACTGACAGATGTATACAACTATGCTCTCAAATTAACGAAGATAATGTCATGTAAGTCTCAGCAAAGACCATTCTTCCTTGAACCTTGGAGTCTAGTACTACAGAATCACAAACAAAAGAACTGTTGTGAATAGTAGAAACCACTATCACATGATGACTACCAACAGAAGCAACGATGCAAATGGATAGCATATATAACTTGAAAAGAAAATAATGAAACAATCAAGATGTCGGTGTTCCACACTACATTGAACAAAAGGCTAGGAAAGCAACATCCATCAATACAGGAAAGAGCAACAACAATTAGTGGATTTGAAAACCTATTTTCCTGAAGAATTATGTTAAGATAAAGATTTTATAAATTTCAACTGACAGTGGCACTGTTTGCTCAGTCAATGAATGCCGAATGTTTCCTAATAAGGAAACAGCTAATATTACAATTAGAGAAGAGAACAGATACTACATTTGGATCCTTGCCTGATGGCCAGGGAGTGAAGAAAAGCCTAACTTGGGTACCACTGCCTGCTTGGTAATATGTAAATGCTGAATGTTTATTCATAAGGAAACATGTAATAGTACCATTATCAATAGATATTTAAATGATATGTTTGGATTTATTTCATAAGTAAAAAGAAGCAAAGAAAAAAAAATGGACTGAAAACTGAAAAATCATTCACATAAACTCAGACACAGGCATGAAATCAAGACATGCCAAGAGAACTGCTCAGTGATGAGACAGGCACAAATCGAAAAACTGAGAGATATAAGGTATATATTACAAATTTAAAATATAAGACAATGTTTATCAAAGAGGTTTCAATAGATAGGTGCATAAAAGAAAGGAGTGGGATGTTTATTTGTTCAAAGAAATTTTCCACACTGTTTATTAATTTCATACTTTTTGACCATTTAAATGAATTTCCAACTCCCTCTTTTATTAAGACCACCCTTCTTTATTAAGTTCATGCTTTTTCATGATTTAAATGATTTTCCACCCACCTCTTTTATTAAAACTACCCTGTTTATTAATTTCATAAATATTGACCCTTTAAATCATTTTCCACTTTTATGAAGAACAGCAGTTTATTGAGAAAAATTCTGACCTCTCCAATTATTAACTGACCCTCCAAGATTAGGCACCAAAGAGAAGATGAAAACAAGGCACACTCACCTGGCTTGTGTAGTATAAGTAAGGCAAATCTGGATTTCTATACACAGATATGTAGAAATTGAAGGTGGGCAATTGTTTTTGGCATTAAGATCAATGATTTCTGGAGAAAGTGTGATGTTAGATTTGAGAGTGATGATTGGTCGAGAATAAAGCAAAGCAACTGAATCTGATTCAAAGGCGCCAACCAACACATCTGGGTAGCTGTTATTATCAACATCCATACCAGTGCCAAGAGCTGCTCCAAAAGCCTTAAATGGATGTGACAGGTCAGTTGCTGATATTCTCTGCAAATGAAAGAACATGTGAATAGGTTATAGAAAAAAAGAACATGTGACTAGGTGTTGTGTCAGAAACCTACTACCCCTCTTGAAGATGAACTTGTCTGTGAGGAAAGACGTTAAATAGTGGCATGTCAAAAGACAGAGACAGAGCAGTTCTTAGCTGAGCTAGTTATAGACTACTCAGGCGATTTCTGTACCTATTTACCAACCTATTAAAGCCCTTTTATTTGTTACGTGTTATTTGGCGTTTGTCTCTACTAACCCCAAATCAACATCATAACAGTGGCGCATTTATTAGATTCATCACGCTGAGTGGAGAATTTTTAACTCTAGGTGGACTATATAAATTTTTTTTTTTCTCTGAAAAAAAAAAAAAAAAAAACAATACGTTGAACTTTGTTCTTCACGAAGAATTGGGATTTCAACGTGCAAAAAGAAGTAAGACTTGTGCTTTTGTGGATATATACGTGTTTTACCTTTTGTTTGTTTTCGTAGTGTTTTGTGTAATCTATTACGCATAATGGAAGATTTGATTGCATTAACGAAAACTCTAGTGCAAAACCAAATTCAGCAACAAGAGCAACAAAATTGCAACAAGACCAACAAAAATTGTTTCGGGAACAACTATTGGATTTACAAGTTCAGCAGTGAAATGACACAAAGGCTTTATTTGAAGCAATTTTACTAAAGAATCTAGTAAATTTGTCATTCCACGGTCCAAGGTATTGCTAGTTCTATTACTGAGTTCAAATTTAACCCAGAGGAGGGCATAACATTTCCTGCGTATTTCAGAAGATTTGAAACAATATTTGAAAAAAATGTGAAGGTTGGACTGATGAACAAAAAGTGAGTTTACTTTTACAAAAAGTTGGGTACAGATGAAAATAATAAGTATAATGAATTTTGTCCTTCCAAGAAAAAAACTAGTGACATTTCTTTCAAAGAAACTGTTAATACTTTATCTAGTATTTTTGGCGCGAAGTTAGTTTGTTTCATACTGCTTTCGTGTTTGAATATGGTAAAGCGTGACGATGAGGATGTTGTTACGTATGCTGGAAATGTTAACAGAATGTGAACGTTTTATGTTACATGATCTTTCAATTGATCGATTTAAATGTTTGATATTCGTTCAAGGCTTGACTTCTAGCAAAGATAAGGACATAAGGTCCCGAATATTGATAAACTTGAACAAAATTCGAGATTGCAGAAGGTTACGGAAGAGTGTCAAAGAATTGAAAACTTAAAACATGACAATATGCAAATTGAAGAAAAGATGTATCCCGTCCATCCATTCTATTCAAAAAAGGGAATAGTTAATAAAAACGTTAAAAACCAACGTGCTTTGGATGCGGTGGTGGTCATTTTAAAAAGTGAATGTTTTTTCAAGAACAAAAATTGCTATTCGTGGTGGCAATAAAAGGCCATATAAGTACTCATTGTAAAAGCAAAAGAAAAAAAAATTTAAGTCAAAAAAAGATAATGTGAATATTGTATTGTCACGTCAGGAGATTGAGGAGGGGCAGAAAAGGAAATTAGTACAGGTAAAAATTAATGGAAAAATGTTAAACTACAGCTAGATACTGGAAGTGATATTTCCATTATTAATACAGTAACATGGATTAAAATAGGCAGACCTTTGCTTAAAAAGACTGAAAAAAGTGGTCAAGTGGGATTTCTGGAAGAAAATTGCATTTTCAAGGTGAATTTTCTTGTAATATTTCATTTGTTGGTAAGACACTAAAGTCTAAAGTGTATGTGTTACAAAATGCTTCAAATTTGTTTGGAACAGATTGATTATACTTTTTAATTTATGGGAACTCCCTATAAATTCTTTTTTGCAATAAAATTAATGTTTCTTCTCCGTGTAAAAAATCGGGTTACAGAAAATTTGGTGAAAGATCTGAAAATAAAATTTTCAAAGTATTTTCAGAAGGTCTTGGATGTTGCAAAAGACGAAGGCAAAATTTGAAGTGAAGGAAAATGTAAAACCTATTTTCAAGCGAAAAAGAAATGTGCCATTTGGTGTTTTGGAACAGATTAACAAAGAATTGGAACGGCTTGAAAATTTAGGAGTTATTTCAATTGAATTTTCAGAGCCTGCCCTGTTGTATATATGTTAAAAAAAAATAAAATAAAAATTCAGATGTGCCTTTTCATCTCTCTGGTCTAAATGATTGCTTAAAAGACCACATATCCTTTTGCCTTCACCAGAAGACATTTTGCAAGTTTAAGTGGAGGAAAAATATTCTCTAAATTGGATTTATCGGATACCTATCTCCAAGTGAAAGTGGACAAAGAATGTTCTAAATTGTTGACTATCAATACACACAAAGGTTTATACAAATTTAACCGTTTGCCTTTTGGTTTAAAAAAGTATCCCTAGTATTTTCAGCAAATTATGGACACTGTGCTGGCAGGGTTGGACTTAAGCCATTGCATATCTTGATGATATTTTGATAAAAAGTAAAGATCAAAATGAACATTTGGAACATATTAATCAGGTTTTGAAAAAAATTGAAGAATATGGATTCAAACTTGTAGCTGAAAAAATGTGAATTTTTTATGAGTGAAATTAAGTTTTTGGGGCAGATAATAGACTCTGATGGAAGAAGACCAGATCCGGCCCGAGGGCAGAAGCGATCAAAAGCATGCCATCTCCCAAAATGTAGTAACGCTACAAGCGTTCTTAGGACTTGCTAACTATTATGGGATATATATTCCTAATTTGTGCAGCCTTAATTAAATAAATTGCTTAAAAAGGGCAAAGTGGGAATGGTCAAAGTGGGTCAGAAGGCGTTTGACAAAATAAAGAATATTTTGACGCCGAATTATCACTAACACATTATGACCCTAAACAGGAAATTATAGTGGCATCGGACGCAACAGGCACGAATAGGTGCGTAATTCTGCATAAATTCAGAGACGGGCAATACGAAGCCAGTGGCATATGCATCAAGGACATTATTACCAGAAAAGAAGTACTCTCAAATTGAGAAAGAAAAGCTAGCTATCATCTATGCTTGTAAAAATTCCATAAGTACATACATGGAAGAAAGTTTATATTGCAGACCGAATCGCCGCTGCTTTCAATCTATGGTTCAAGAAGGGTATACCTACTCATACAGCAAACCGTTTACAACGTTGGGGAACCATTTTGTTGAATTACAATTTCAAAATGGAATTTTTATCATCTAAAATTTAAGCCATGCTGATGGTTTATCTAGGCTGATCCCAACGTCTTCAGAACCGCTAGAAGATACGGTGATAAGCGTCGTTACAAGCAGAAAAAAAATTGTTGAAAAAATTAGCTTAAAAATTTATGTCAAAATTCAAAATGATATTAAAAATTAAGAGAATTAAAAATGGAAAAGTTACAAAAACTTAGGATAAATTAGTTGAAAAAACTTTAAAAGGTATTTTATAAATGAAAAAAAATTAAAAATTTGAAAGAATAAGTTAAAGAAAAAGAAAGTTAATAAATTGAAACAAAAAAATTATAAAAAGTTAAAAAAAAAGAATAAACAAAAATGAAAAAATGAAAAGATTTTCATAAATTAAAAAAAGAACAGTTAAAAGTTAAAAACTTCAGTTGAAAAATAAATTAAAAATTTCACAAAAAAGTTAAAACAAAAAGTAATAAAAACATTGAAAAAATTAGTTTTAAAAAATTAATAAAAAATCTAAAAGATTTTAAAAATTACAAAAGTTAAAAATTAGAAAAAAAAAGAAGCTAAAAAATGAAATCTATCAAAAATTTAAAAAAATAAATTAAAACTATTAAAAAATAAAGTTAAAAGTTTTTGAAAAGTAAACTAAATAATTTGAAAAATGTTTAAAAAATTTAATTATTTGGAAAGAAGCTCATCTTATTATTCTCACAATGTTTCATCTGTTGCGACATTTGGCCTTCTTCAGCTGTTTATTGATCCAAGTAACCTTCAGTGAATTTCAAACTGAACCCTTCATTTAATGTATAGAGATATACTGTTCTAATTCTTTAGGATATCTTGTTCTTATTTAGCACTACTCAGCTATTGCTCATCCTGTTTCCAATGAGTTTAAGGAGACAAGGATTGAACTCACAATTGCTATTTCATCAACTGGATGAACCAGTGCTTTAATCTACAAAGCTATTTTATTGTATGTTTAATTTAATGAAACATATTTGGATATGGAATAACAATATATATTTTTTTTTATATATCAAGAACAATTTTAAGGGAAAGAAATATGAAAAAGTGGAAAAAGTTTTTGTGTGATGCGTTTTGTCCTTTAGGATTTCATTGGATTAAAGTTTGAAAACACATCACATGTTTGGATATAAGAGAAATAAGTCTTAACATTTTCAGATGTGTTTCTTCTGATGTGAAGTATGTTTAAAGTGGAAACTTGCAAAGGAACTTGAGGAAACTAAGCATAATGTTTTTGCACCACCCGACATCAAGAAAGTCATTCAGCAATAGAAAAAGAAAACTCAATAGAAAGCCAACAGACATTCCTTCTTGAGTCTTTTAAATAAAACATATTCAAATGAAGCATTAAAGCTAATTAACTAAAAATTCTGTTGATAATAATTAGTCAGGCTTCAGATTTATTTATCCACTCCTTATATATATATATATATATATATATATATATATATATATAGGTGTGAATCCTCCTCTTCTCCCTCCAGCTATGGTAAATAGTAGGACAGACTGGGTTCTATAGCCTTGGAATGGCAACTGGTCTTGGAGAAGGACAACTCTGAATTCAAAACCTGCAGAGGGTCATTTGGGGACCTCGTGGCACTTAGTACACCAGGTCTCTGTATTCCGCCCTTCAAAAAGTGTGGATGGTCCTGCACGAAACCTTCACCACTATAATCAAATCTCATGTGCTGTTGCTGGGCTGTCGGTTTCCTAGGAACTGATCTGCTTGACCCTCGTACTTCGAATTTGACGGGAGAGTTGAGTATATATAATTTATTTTAGGATATTACAACAAAAACATAAAAATCGCTATACAATTGCAGTCATGTTTAAATGCATAGCAATGCATCTCCTCAGGTGATTGTAAATTACTGGCGAGTGAACAATTAATTTGGTTTCAAAAGCAAAATACATCCTCTTTCTTTGTGGGGGGGGAATAGGGCCTGAGGGTTTTACCCTGATCAACCAATCGAATTTGCCCTACATTAAATTCAAACTAAGTGAAAAAGAAAAAAGATTAGAAATTATTATCTTAGAAATGTGTCATGATCAGGGATTGGTATCTAACAGCACCCAGACATTAACTTAAAGACTGATACAAATGGTTACATAAAATGTACACATGCCAGAAAATCAACTTTCATAAGAAATAAAAGTTGATGGTAGAGAGGTAATTTAACCAAATGCCAAACTAATTATATGCTTTGTGGATTTCCTATATAATTTTTTTTTGTAGTTGATAAATAAGAGGCCTCTTTAAGAAACTAGTAAATATATAGAATTATTTGGTAAATAATTTGCAACTGTTAAATAAATATCATCCATATAAGATATTGATAATACTAAATGCCAACCAATCAATATAAAATGTCAAAAACACTAACTAAATACCAATACATCTGTATAAGATGTTAATAATAGTACCAGGAGATCAATACAGAACTAAATTAAACACAAATTAATCAAACAAATAGAAAGATAAGCCATATATGGTGCAACACAATTCAACTAAAATCTAAGAAAAAACATTGTCAAATTCCAAAGTTAAACTGAATTGTAAGGTAAAAGGTAGACTATGTTTACAATTTACCGTTAATTTGGTTCTTTGATTTAATAAAGATTCTCTATTGTAGCGATAGTACTTAGGTAAACAAGAGATTTAGTTAAACATTTGTTTAGCAATGGGCATTGGTCTAAATTCCTACAATTACATTGACTAGCATCATTAATAATTTTTATCTTGGAACATGGATTATGATCCAGATTATTTAATTGGTTTAAAATTTTATTATTGTATAAAATTATAATCTTTTCAAGATTATTGGTGCAGCTATGACTTAGTTTTAATGTGTTTCTTTTAAATATTTTACTAAGATGGTTACTTTTAGGGAAATGTTTAACAATATATATCCCCTCCCCAAAAAGAGGATGTATTTTGCTTTTTAAACCAAATTAATTGTTCACTCTCCAGTAATTTACAATCACTGAAACACTGACATTTGATCCTGAAGGTGGGACTCCCCCATACCCATAATTTAGAACCCCTGAGTTAAGGAATATAGAAAAAAAATTTTTATTATAAAAAGAAAAAAAAATAGAGCTGTTTTTTTTTTTGTCCATCACACACTTTGTGCACACTTATGTTTGTGCTACATGTGAGGAACTTATATGTGCTTGTGCAATTTAACATAAAAATAAGTACATACACAGTTTAAAATAAGATATTGGAATATTACATTGCCTCTCTACTCAGTCTGGACCATTCCTACCCTGGGCTAAGTACTAAAATCATAAATATGGAGACAAGATAAAAAAGTATTATATTTTTTAAACTTAAAAATTATAAGATTTTATATAAGTTATGGAAAATAATATGGTAATAAATAGAATTTTATTAAAGTTCTCTTCTTTTTTTAATTTTGTAGAAATATTTTAAGGTATTTTTTTAAATGTCATACACACAGTTTAAATGAAGCTAAAATGAACATCTGTGTCTTGAGAGCTAATTTCCCTTTCTGGGTAATAGAAAAAGATTATAAATCGGATCTTAAAAGTCATTTCTGTGCCACCTTCCATATTTAAACTGGATATGTTTTCTAATAAATGTCGTATTTTAATTGGACAAACAATTTAGATTTTAAATTTAATCACCCTTGAAAGAGTAAACAAAAGAAAAAGCAAACCTGGGAAGGTTTGGGTACAATGCCAGAGGCTGATCCATGGAAGATATAAATGGCACCATTTCCTTCATAAGGAGCACCAACAATAAGAT